TATTTATTATTAAGTTTAATTAATTATTTTATTAATTAATTATTATTATATTACCTTAAAAGCTATTATTAATCTTATTATTTTATAATATTATTTATTTATAATAAGTTAACGTTATTATAATTATAAATTTATTAAGGTTAATAATCTTATTATGTCGAACTTTTATATAATTTTATACTTAATTAGCTAGGACCCTAACATAATATATTTATAATAAAGTTATATATTTAAATATTATTATCTTATAGCTAAGTTATGTAAAGTTAATAAGTTATTAATAATTAACTATTATTAAGCAGCTTATTTATATAATGAAGAAATATATATATCCCTTTGCATATATATTATTATAACTTACTATAATAATTTGCTTATTTATTATTAAGGTAATTATAAAGCTTTTTAATAAACCCTTTATAAGAAGGGATATAATGGTTTTTTTAATTATAATGTTAAATATAACGTCTTTATTCTTTATAACTTCCTACTTAATTATTTCATTAAACGCTTTATTATTAAGATATAAATTAAATTATTTATTAATTAATACCTTATCTTTTACTAAATTAATTATAATAACCTATTATATTGCAGCTAGAATCTTTATAATGCTATATAAAAAGGTAAGCAAATATTAAAAGACTTAAAATTAATAAAGAAAGATAAGTAAAAGCATATAATTAACTTCCCTATTTATAATTATTATAATAACCCACTAAGCCTATATTTATATAACTCATCTCTTAATATTTATTATTAAGGTATATTATAAAATTATTAATATAATATACTTTTTAAAGATTAAGCTTGTAACTTATATAATTAATTTATTTATTAAGATAAGGAGATTTTAATTATTAATAAGAAGGCTACTGTTATTATTTTTATTGCGGCCACCCTTATTTATATAGCTAAGAATTTAAGCATATACTTAGCTAAGTAAACTATTAACGTTAAAATTAATAAGACTGTTATTTTAATGTTAGTTATTAAGGTTAGCTAATTATTTAATAAGGCTTAAAAGCCTTAATCCCTTATTAATATTCTTTATTATTTTAACTTTAGCCTTAATTTATTTATTTTTAACTATAAGCATAAGGTAATTATTAACCTTTTTAATAATAATAAAAATAACATTAAGCTTATTTACTTAATTACTTTAAAATTTAATCTTAATAACTTATTTACATTTTTAGCTAAGAAAAAGGCTAACGCCGCTTAATTTAAGAAGGTAAACTTAGCTATTATTATTATACTTCTTAAGATTAAGAACTTTTATATAAATATTACTATATTTATAAGCAAGTTTAAAGAGATTATTAATCTTAAGTTTAACTTACGTTATTTTATTATTATTAACCTTTTTAATAGCTATCTTATTTAATATAATAATATAATTAATATTAATAATTAGTGCATTATTATTATCTTTATTTATAATAAGTATATTATTATAACTTTAATCTTATATATTTTCTTTATTAATTTATATAAGGCTATTAATATTTTATACTTTATTAATTTAAATAATAAGATTAATTGCATCCTTATTAGCTTTATTTTATATAAATTGCTATATATAAACTAAAACTTTAATGTTATTAAGATTTGCTATAATAAAGATAATTAAATTAACCGCTTAATTATTATTTATACTTAAAAGGCTAAGTTTAATAATTTCCTAATTATTATTAATTAAGATATTATGCATAATTATATAGCTAACCTAATTAACTATATTAAAACCCATAGCATAATAAAGTATTATGTACTAATTAATAATAAGGTTAATTTAATTACCGCTAATATTGCTAATAACATAATTAACGCAATTTAAAAAATTATTAGCAATAGCTATAATAATAATAATGCTGCCAATATTAATTAAGCAAAACTAAACATTAAAAATCCTATAATTATATAGTTGCACTTATATTTTACTATAATAAGAATTAAGAGGAAATAGTATTATTTTTATTTTACTTTATTTTAAAAAAATTTATTATAAATAAAAGTAATTTAGATTTTTTCTTTTAATAACTAGCATGCTAATTAATTTATAAATTAATAATTTTATATTAATATAAAGAAATATTATAAAAATAAAATACATTAATAGCTATAATATTTATATATATAGCTTAACTTACCTTATAAATATATAACCATACTTGCTACTTTATTTATCTTATCTTAAGAATAATACTTAGTAAATTTATAATAAATTTATAATAAATTTATAATAATAATTAAAACTCTTATTATAATGCTATAAAGGTAAATTAAACCTAAGACCTTATTGCATTTAGCTATTACGTTCTTTATATTATAGCATTACTTATATATATCCCTAACCTAACCATTTCATTATTAATTGCTTTAATAAACCCGCCTTATATAATTCGCTTTGCCGCTATTAAGCATAATAAAAATAAATTAAGTTTTATTAATATATTAAATTAAAGTATACTCCGCTATTTACTTAAAAATGGAAGTTAGCTTATTGCATTATTTATAAAAAAAACCCTTTAGCATTATTATTAATTACTTTTATTATATTAAATATCCCGGCTAAACTATAAATATACTTATATAATTATTTCTTTTTAATGTTTAAAGTTTATAATAGCAGCTAGGATACCTTATTAAGAATTTTTATATTTTCTTCGTTGCTTTTCACCATTATTAAGGCAGCTTTTAAGGTTTAAACTCTTTATTTACCGCTATTTTCTAAATTTACCTAAGTTTAAACTACTTATTAATACCGTAAGAAAATTATGCTTAAAAGTAAATTATTTATAAGGGGGAATTTAATATAATATAAATAGGTTATAATAAATTTATAATAAATTTGCTATAAATTCATAAGCATTTATGAATTTATAATACTTTTATAGTGAATTTATTATAAATATATAATTTTATAGTGAATTTACCATATATATATTTAAATAGAGAAATTCCCCGCGAATTCACCTTAAATTCATAAGGGACATTGAATTTTAAACCTTTGTTCCCATTAATTAATATTTATTACTTTATTATTTTAGGGTTAAGTATTATCTTTCCTTGCTGTAATATTAAAAACGCCCTTATATTGCTATAAGGCAAAGTAAAAGGCCTTAAATATATTTAGCCACTCCTTATAATTAAGCTAAGCTTTCGCTATAAAGGTTAAGCTATTAATTATTAATAATATTTTATATTTATTTAATTAATTTTAAATTTTTATTATATAAGCTAATTAATTAAATTAAGTAAGAAATTTTATTATTTCCTTTTCATAACGTTGCTATAATATAATTAAGCTAAGCCTAACATATCTTTACTTAAAAGGGTTCTTAAATGCAAAGCAAACCTTCTTTAAGAAGCTTTTTAGCTACCCCTTAAATATCTTTATAAAATTAATATAAGGTAAAAATTAATTACGGAAAGTTTTTAACTAACTAAATATATAAAAAAATTAAGCCACTTTAGCGTTAATTGCCTTTTTATTTATTATAAACTTAGCCCTTATCTTTACTAACTAAGTTATTAAGTATTCTTAAGATAAAAGTTCTTTTAAATAAGGAAGGGCTTAATAAGCTATTATTATTCTTTCTAAATCTTATTATATTAAGTTTTATATAATTATATTATGGGTTTATAATGCAAAAGGACTTTAAATATATATTATAAGCTAGCCTTAGGTTATTTATTATAAGGTATTTAAATAGGGTTTATATTTAAAGTATAAAGGAGAAGTTTACTCCCCGTTTGCACCCATGCCAAAGCCTATTCTTATAAGGCTAAAGCCCACTAACTAATCACAATAAGTAAAGCCCAAACCGTAACATTAATTTAGTTTTGCTTAAAAGCATTTTTTAAATAATATATAATATATTTAGTTTTTTTTAATTAATCTTTAAATAATATAAGTAAAAATAATATTAAAAATTATATAAAAAGGTATTTAATTTTATAAAGAATAAATCTTAATAAGTTAAGAAAGGTAAGTTAATAAATTAATTAAATAGCTTATATATATTATAAATAGCATTTTTATTTATAAAAAGTATAAAGGGTTAATTTTTAATAAAGCTTTTAAATATATAATAACTTTTTAATTTATTTTTATTATTTATAAATAGCGTTAACTTTATATATTTAATATAAAAGCATTACTTAACTTTTTTTTTTAATTATTAATTTAATTTTTATTTTTAATATTTAAAAATAAAGTTATAAATAATTATTTTATTAATACTTTTTTTAATATTTAAGTATAAAGGTATAGCATTATTTTTAATAAAAAGTAATGCATTTAGCTTTAAAAATTAAATTAATAAAAATTAAATATTAAAATTAATAATAAATTAAGTTTTTAATTTAATAATAAAAATATTAAATTTATTTTATTTAAATATTATAATATTATATTAATATTTTAATTAATTTATTTTCTTAAAAAAAATTAAAAGTTTAAATTATAAAGATAATTAAATATAAGTAAAGTAATTAAGGATATATAATATATAAATAATATATAAAAAGTATTTAAGTAATTTATTTAAAGAGTAAAATATAATTAAACTTAATTTTTTCCTTTTTTTCTTTTTTTGCCTTTAGGGTTCCCTTCTTTTATAAAGGGAGCAGCTTTTGTGATGCTCTTAAGCGTTGAAAAAGCTGCGTTGTTTTCTAAGATGGATAAGTGCCGGAGGTTCTTTTCCAAGCCGATCCCTTTTCCTACATGAAGATCCCTAACATCTAAGATTGGACAGGATCCTAACTCATGCTTATCTGGTAAGGGAGTACCTGCATCTAGCGTTTAGCTTCTCACTTATGTATCATTACGAGTCGTCTGAGGTGAGTGTCTCAATTATTTACATGTATCCTCAGGAGCATAGTGTCTGCTATTTGAATCTGCCAATTTCCACGACTCTCTCTCTCCCGAGGCATCAAAGTCTTCTCAAAAGGCAGAACAGGCCAAGTAAAGACGAGAAATTCCCAGTGTGGTTTTATGAGAAGTTCCCGCCCGCAGCCGCAAGCTCGGCAGCAGACACCTGCGTCACATTGGGGTTCGTAGTGAACGGGTCCACAGAGCTCAGGCTGCTCACGCGGCCCAGCAGGACCTCGAGCTGCCTGTACGCCGCCGTCGGCTGGTATTGCGGGACCATGTGGCCCGAGAGGTCGATGCCGACGTACGTTAGCCCGCGCTCCGTGTGAGTCGTGCCCATGACGCCGGACGCGGAGAGGGTGCTCTGCGAGACCTCGTCGTGGTACGGCACGTAGAAGGGGTCCTTAGGGGCGGTTTGGAAGCCCTGAGCTCCGCCCCAGGTCATGTTTTGGATGGCCAGAAGTGTGCCGTTTGCGATCCTTGTTCGGGTCTAGTCAGCTTTTGACTGCAGTAAACGGTATAATGAGTCGGAAGTAAGGTATTAACTTACAAGACCATATCCAGAGCTCCGTGGCCGATGATGACGTTTTGTGTGCGCTCGATTACACCAGGGAGGACGGTGATCGAGGACGGCAATGAAGAGTCACCTCCGCCGACAAAAACGTCGCCGCTGGCACACTCTTCCCATTCGATCTTCGGCGCGTTGATGGCCTCCTGAACATCCGTGCGGTTGAAGTAGATTGAGGCGCCTTCGGGCTGATAGCCGAATGAGCCAGGGACTGTAAGCTCGTCAGTACGATTCGTCCCAACCAAAGGAACGTGGAGTGAACATCGAGCTGTCTAGCTCAAGACGCAAGTAGACTCACATCCCAAAACATCCCACAGCAAGGGGCACGTCGTCTGGACAGCATAGATATCGAAGCAGGGGTTCACAGCCGTCACCGCATCGAAGATGTCTTCATACAGCGCCTGGCAAGAATCATTGTTCTTGCCAGGGAGGTCATCCGGTCCAGGGAGGAGGCTAGGCGGCGGGAACGAGAGGAACTCGTTGCGGAAGTCGGCATAGCCGCAGGCAGCATCACGGGCTCGAATATCAGCCCAGAAGGTGTTGTTGAACGGGAAGACGGCGGCGGCGGACTCGACAAAGGGAAGGACCGTGACCCCGCTCTGTAGGTCATCATAGGCGATGCTGGGATCGTAGATCATGATCCCGGAGACGTTGTAGTAGGTGGTGTCGTTGGCGTCCAGCATGGCACTTGCGATGTAAGGCACGTATTGGCCGGCGTACGACTCGCCGGTGATGTAGACGCTGTAACCTTGCATGCCGAATGCGTCGACAAAGTTCTTGAACCAACTCATGAATTGCTTGCCGACGTCCTCCTCCGAGGTTGCCGTAGGGATGCCCTGGGAGAATCCCGTACCGACAGGCTGCTCCACCCAGACGACATTTGTGAGCTCGTGCCAGCTCCAGGGGTTGGCAACCGGCTTGTAAGTGCCATATTGCCATAGGAATGGGCCATTCTCTTGCAGGAAGCCCTCAAGGGATGAGCAGCCGGGCTGTTTCCGCGTCAGCACTCTGCTCATTGCTGGGTCAGAAAATACTGGGACTATTTAGTTGTTCTTACTCCGCCATTGAGCCAGATCAGTATCTCTTTCCCAGCTGCCGGGTTCGTGGAGGGGAAGAACCAGAAGAAGAGATTACTGTCGCTGGCATTGGTGCCTAACGGGATGGAACCAGCGTACGATTCACCGACGTCGAAGTCGACGTCAGGTATGGCGGTTCCGTCCACCACGAACTCTGCAAGACGATATTGGTTCAGCAAGGTTGTGAAGCCAAGGACGGTCAAGCTTTCCAGTGGGTTCGCTTACTTGCGGTCGTGTTAGTGAGGAACTGAGATCCCGCAGTAGCGCGCTTGGCAGTTGCTTGGAAATCGCGCGGCATCAGAGGCGTGTCCGCCGCGGTGCTACGTCCCGCCTTCTGCAGCCTGTCTGCAAAACCAGCGACATGACGAGTAGATCGTCCGGCCGTGGCGGCGCCGGCGAGGGCAAGGGCCGAGAGCAGCTGAGACAGGTGCATCTTGGAAGCTGTCAGGAGGTGAATTGACGTTTGACAGTGGCACTCTGGGGACGGAGGACAGGAAGCAGCCCTGAGGGTAGTGAGAGGGAGATCTCCAGGTTATATCACTACGTTGCCCCTGTGGGACCGGGATGCTACTGTGGACGCGCGTGAGGATGATCATTACTTTGTCGCTACCTGTGACTACCTTGTAATGCAATAAACCAATGGAAGGTGAAGATAAGCAGCGATTCACGGCTTGTCATCTAGATTACTGACAAGTGATGGAGTGGCTTGCTTGTCCCCTGGAGAGATGGGGAGGCAGGTGGACATGTGGACATGTGGATATGTAGCTCGGCAAATCGGCCGATCCAAGGAGCACCCTCTCCTGGTTGAAAGATGAAGCCGGTCACTCGCAAGGGATACATGATGTTGGGCACTCCGTCACGAAGTTGCCAAGCACAGCAAACACGGGCCGCTTCAAGTTGCGGACTGAGGCAAACGATTGAGAAAGGGACAATTGTCACCTTGTGTTGCTGTGATCACTGCTGTGATCAGGAGCACCCGCAGTCGGTACTTGTCATGTCGTGATGAACGAGTCGGCCGTGATACTCAAAGAGGAGAACGACGCCCCACCGAGTGCAACGGTGGAAAAGTAGCGATGCAATCGTGCATGAGCGGCGGCGGGACCCACACAGAGTCTTGGCCCAATTTGGCAGGTGAATCAGGAACCAAAGGCAATGGACATGGATATGCTTGGAAAGTGTGTCATGGCTTCTAATTAGACGGGTAGGATGATGAGACCGCGAGATTCTGTCGAAAAAGCATTCTTTTAGAGGTGCTTTTAGCAAGTGCACCTAGTGACGGCGTGACATACGGATAGCTTACTATTTGCCTGTGACAGCACCCAAGAATCCAGATGCTGCCCCGCCGCAATTGAGGCATCGGAGGTCTGCGTGACCAGGATGCACTACAGGCAGGAGACAAGGGAGTACAGAAACACGGCCATTCAATAATCGCCGTTGTTGGATGCTTGGGGATGGTCGTGTGGTGAACCAGGGGATCTACACATCAAAAACGCCACATCGGATGACGTTGATCACTGACATGGGTGTCGAGCCTTCAACGTTCCCGCAACTCAATTGCTCGAACTGGCAAGCTCAAGGCTTCTACTGACGGGATCCCCAGTGAAGTTTATTCAGATTAGCTCAACCAAAGTAGCTCCTCCAGGAGACGACTACTACAGTAGCCAGACCATCGTGGTTATCGAACATTCACCGATGCAACATCCGGCGTTGCAGACAGATGTGCACTACAGCAGACAGTGCTCTATTCAGATCCACCCTGACAATATGCAACATTTCCTCGCCTCAGAACGTATAGTCTAATTACTTGGTGTATTTCTTTGCAGTATACCCTCTCATATATTTGGGTCTATCTTCTGGCCAACTCGTAAGATATACAGTTGTGGCAGGACAGTAGGGACATGTACCATACCTGGTTTCCTACCACCCAGGCGGGAATCGCCGAGCAATGCAGGAGATCGCTTCATGCACCTCAGTTCGAGACGGCACAGGCCGGGAAGCTCCTATCAATGCATTCTTCATCCTGAAATTATTATCTTCACTTTGTACAAGTCAAGATCCTCACACAAGTACAACCTTACGTTGACCAAAGTTTTCGCCAACAAGGAGATCTGAAGCAAGTACGTGTACAAACCAACCCCAGGTCACTTGTGAAGGCACCAGCAAACATCACCCGTTCGCGGCTCTCATATTGGTCCATGTTGCTGCGCAGCAGCCAAGCTCGTTATCGAAGTGGGCAGTATGCAGGAATGCCGTATCCAGAGCGCAATTAATCACATAATTATGAACATCCCGCTTGGACGGGGAAAGCATCATCTTCACATTCGTGCATCAGACTCCCAACTGATCAGAGTCACCTTTCAGAGGCGCAACAAGCAGAGTCTCTGCAATGTCCCAACTAGTTAGACAGCGTGAAAGTTTTGAAAACTTCTCACTATTTTGCATTTTCTTGAATTAAATGAATAGTTGAGAGTAAAGCTCTGGTAGGCAGGACCAGTCTATCAGAATGTCACAAGATTAATAGAGCATGGATCGGAATGGCTGTTCAGAGTCATCTCTACCAACCTTCCTTGAAATTCTGTGATAATGCCCCGTATACTAATTAGACTAGGCTAGGCGCAATGGCGCAGCCACTGATGATAGAAGTGAGCTTCGTCCAGTAGTTCAACTCGCTATCGGCGAGATCATCTTGAGCCCAAAGTGCATGCAGCAACACTGTCACATGGTTGAAAGACCGTGACGTGACTCTCTTCTCTGTCCTCGAGATGAGATCCAAGATAATTGCTCGTTGGTCGTCAGTCCGAGCCTCGCAACCCAGCACCAGGATAGGAAATTGCCGCTCGCAGGAGGGCAGCTGGGAAAGCAGTGCGAAGCCCTCATCGATACGTTGCTGGGTCCGGGCTGCCTGGCCGAGAACATTTTCGCTCACTCGGTTAACATATACATGGACAGCCAGCCGGTAAATCTCGACTGCCGTCGTTATATCCACAGCCTCGTCGGGTTTAAGCAAGACCGGTACCGTTCTGATCCTCCAGTCGAGAACAGTCAAGAAGGCTTTGTGATCGTCAAGAGCTTGGCCGTTTGCTACGCCCGAAGGAGACCGCGGCACCGAGTCACAGAATTCGGATAGTAGTTCCGGGAGGGCTGAAGTTGAGGATGGTTGCTGGGATATACAACTCCGTCTCATTCTAAGTGCTGGCAGTTGTTGAGCGTAGCCTTTGGTCGCAGTCAAGGTGTCACAAGGAAACCCAATATCTTCCCCGTGCCAGTGTTGTAGAGTGAAGCGCATCATGACATCGTGATAGTACACCCAGTCTAACAAGGCAGCCAGGTCTTCATGCTCCTGTGGCGTTGCAACCTCGGACGCCTCGAGCAACTGCTTGACGGCGGCAAGATAACAGGACCATTGACTTGAGGTACAAGAAGATTGGTGGACCTGACCGGCGGCTGCATTAGCAGACGACACGTAATTAGCCGCTGAGCTGAAGAATCCTGACCTCAAAAGAACACAGCAACATTCCGGCGGCAATGTGCTGGATTACTTCGGTGACACCCAACTTGCCCTCCGAATTGGCTGCTGCCGCCAGTGCCTTCAGGCTCGCGATTTTCAGCTTGACCGCCTGTGATTGAACACCATAGCGATGCAGTGAGGACAACGCAAGGAGTGACTGCAGAACGGCAGTGGCCGAGCTTGACTTGTTTGTGTGGGCGGCACGCATGAGGACATTTCCCAAACTAGCTGGGTTGCGGCCGAAGGTGGTGAGAGACTGGGAAGCCGCATATTGGACTATGCTTGGTCAGCCTGATGGCGTGTCTCATTTCAAGTGGACAGTAGGTAGACACACAATACTGGAAAAGATCCTTGTCACTGATGGACATTTCGGATGGGTTCCACGGCAATGGGATTTGAAGTGTCAGCCGGGCTTGCTCTAAGAGGCACGTCAGTTAACCCGTTACATTGGTTGGTAATCCCTATAGATACTACAGAGCTGTGGGATAACCTCGTGTGGGATACTCTCCCGAGGGCTACCATCTTTCAATATGCCTAGGTAGGGGGGTAGGTAGCTAGCCTGCCTTTTCTGGACGAAGCTGTCAAGTAATAATGCATTTCTATGTCCCAGGCGGTAGTGTGGACCATGCTCGCGTCAGAAATGCGGCGACTTGATCTCCGGAATGACGACCTCGCGACAATAGCACGCCGGCCGTCTCCTGCTTTTGGCCATGACAAGCGGATATTATAGCCCTGGCATGCACGCTTTGATCGGGAACATTGCGAGCATGTCGGAACAGCACGATCGCAGTGGATCCTGCGCTCTGTAGTCGACAATTTCAGTCTCGTCTCTCACTTGGGTTTCATAGTAACCCGACATCTGGGACACACCTCTACATGTGCCACAGCTCCTCTTTGCAACCGGCACCTTAGGGTCTGCTCTGTGAGGATCTTCGGTGAGGCAGTCCTGCGCCATTGCCGTGCATATGATAGGTCTATTGCGAGTGAATGGGGATCCACAGAGACGTTGAAATGGATTCGCGGAAAGTTGCCTCCAAGATACCATTTGATCTAGGATTCTACTTAAAATGCGATAGCACAGAATTTCGTCCTGGCTCTAGAAGTGATTGATAATCCACGGCGTGATCACCCTTGCCGGCAACTAGGGTGGTTTGAGCCTAACAACTCGACCATGCTTACCAAGCCATCAGATGCGCGTTCCCGAATGATGCATCCTGCAGGTAAGCTGTGGAATCTAGGGATTGGCAAGTTTGCGCGGGCCCTGGTCAGTTTAGTTTAGCCTACTGTAGCTACCGAGATCCTAAATCGGGTCCCGGATGGATACATGCACGTCAGACCAAGAGACGAACTTCAGACAACTATGAGCGAAGCGCTTGGCACCGCCGGTGATGATCGTATTTGAAATCTCCACTGCTCTAATATAGTCACACGAGGTGAGATGTTTGAGGTTACTGATAGGAAGGGATTTGTAATTGCTCGAGACATGCATTCTTCACTTCAGCACACTAGAAACACTGATACAAATGAGTATATATACCCTCCTGTTGTCCGCTCATATCAACGTGAACAGGAACAAGCATTCCAGATATTTCACCAACATCTTTCGACAGCCATCACACAAAGCGTGGCCATCACCTTGAGACTTTTTAACAAATTCATATCACATTTCAAATCTCGTGCTTCAGCCAAAATGGCCACATATGTTATCACCGGCGTCTCGAGGGGTCTTGGTGTGAGTTCAGATCACGAGCGCCAGGCACAGGATCTGAATACCGTCTAATTAATGTCCAATAGTGGGAGTTCCTCAACCAGATTTCAAGCAACCCTGACAACACAGTTGTTGGCATTGTCCGAAACAAGACCTCGACGGACAAGAGGGTGGCTGAAGAACTGAGTGGGCGATCCAACATCACCATCTTGGAGGCGGATCTTACCAGTTATGACGCGGTCAAGGTACTAGAAAAATTCCCATGAGATGAACTTTGACGAAGCTGCAGCTGCTGACACTTGCTAATTAGAAAGCTGCCGAAAGCTCTGTCGCCGTTACTGGCGGAAAAGTCGACTATATCATCGCTAACGCAGGCTATGTACCTACGTGGGACATGTGGGACGGCCTTGATGTCCTGTATGTATACGAAAGTTCTCAAAACAAAGGCTCTGCCTACAAGACTCATATGCTGACCTGTGGTACTATCAAGGGGAGAGAAGCCTGTGGAGTTCGAGGAGCAATTCACCACTCTTTTGCGCACAAATGTCATCGGCAATGTCTATCTGTTCAACAGTTTCATGCCGCAGGTCCTCAAGAGCAAGGTGAAGAAGGTGGCTACCATCTCCAGCGGCATGGGGGACATGGATTTCGTGAAAGACTATGACATTTCGATGGCCCCTTTGTACGCTGCCAGTAAAGCGGCCATGAACATGATCGCCGCCAAGTTCAGTGCCCAGTACAAGGAGCACGGCGTCCTGTTCTTGAGCATCTGCCCCGGCATGGTCGACGTCGGTCACTTCGAAACCGGTAAGTCATATCTCCACGGTGCAGCACGGTGTCAAACCCCCCAGCTGACCTTGTATTCTCCCCAGTGACGCCAGAACAGCAGCCTGCCTTGGAAAAAACCTTCGAGAAGTTCAAGAGGTACTCCACGACTTTCGAGGGCCCGGATGCCCCGCCGGAGTCTATCAAGGCTGTGCTGTCGGTCATCAACAACTCCAGTATTGAGAACGGAGCAGCTGGCGCTTATCTATCGCACTTTGGGAACAAGAGGTGGGTGTGAGCTATCCACTCGCTCAGTACCTTGATTTGGGGAGGGCGGAGGCGTTGAAACGAGAGGTCTGCTCCGTTATGTATTGCGAGATGGGCGGTGGAGATGTTACTGAGAGCAAATAATTCAACCGGGTGAAGTTTGGTTGCAACACATTCAGCTGCATCGAGTCTTCTCCACGCTTAGTTAAGATACATTGGTAGATTGTAATAAGAGCCTTGACCAAAACCTGGCCCTAGGAGACTTGAGATAGTGCTGCGTTTTTCTGGGCCTCTGCAAGGACTGAGGTATCATCTAGGTGCATGGACTCGATATAGTACAGGATTATGGACACTCTATTTCTTCTTGGCCGCCTTCTTCGCGTCTAATGCGACAACTGCCTCCTCTTCCTCGATGACAGCTTCGATGTCCTTACCCAGCCGCCATTCCTTCACACTGTCCAAGATCCTGTCAAAGGTCCTGCCGCCGCCGAGCACATCTGGGAGGTTGTTGACATCGAGGCCACTCCTGTGATCCGAGCATCGGTCCTGACTGTAGTTGTACGTCCGGATCTTGTCGCCACGCGTGATCTTGTCTTTGGACAGGACACTGTCCCTCAAGCTTTTCGCCTCCTCCTCCCTGGCCTCACGACGGGCGATGGCCATCCTTGACCGAAGAATCTTCCACGCGGCATCCCTATTGGCCTGCTGCGACCGCTGATCCTGCATACTCACCTGGATGCCAGTTGGAGTATGTGTTAAGCGGATGGCCGACTCCGTCTTGTTGACGTGCTGACCACCGGCTCCTCTCGCCCTCATGGTCTCCGTCCTGACCTCACTCGGTTCGATGTAGAAATCGCTTTCTGGATTGTTGAAGTCGCTAGCACCGGCGCCGTTCTCAGGGAAGGATGGTAGGACCCACACAGCCACCGCGCTGGTATGTGTCCGGCCTTTGTTCTCCGTGACGGGCACGCGTTGCACCCGATGTATTCCTGCTTCGGTACGGAATAGGTCGTACGCGCCGTTGTCCTGGACTTCCAGCACCGCCTCCTGTAGGGGCAGCTCGCCATCGGAGCCTTTCATGTCGCCCGCGCCTTCTGCCGTGTCGTACTTGACAACCTTGGCACGGAAGCCTTTGCGCTGGCAGAACAGCTGGTACATCTTGAACAGCGAGTCTGTGAAAAAGCGTCCCTCGACGCCGCCAGGGCCGGGCCGGAACTCGAGAATGCAGGGCAGGTCCGCGTATGGGTCCTTGGGCGTCAAGCTCGCCGAGAGCTTGTGACCAAGTGTGCCTAGCTGCTCGTGGGTCGCACTGAGTTCTTCCTGAGCCATTTCACGCATTTCAGCGTCTTTGGACTGCAGGAGGCCGCTCAGCTCGGACAAGGAGGATTGCGCCGTCTCCCATTCTCTCAGGGCGGCTGCGACGCCGGCTATCTCGCCAGCGCGCTTCGCGATTTTCGGGTCGAAGGAGTCGGCGAGCTGCTGACTGAGCTGGCCATGTTCGACTGCAAGCTTGCGGGCGCGCTCGAGGAGGACAGATGGAAGGGTGTATGGGGAGTCTGCGCGTGCAGCTGGTTAGATGCGGTTGAACACCAGAACGTCGCGACCTGCTGCGGCGTACCTGTGCTAGCTCTCCTGAGGAATTGGCGCGATAACGAGGGCGTTTGCGACCTCAGACAGCGCAGAGACACCCATGATGCTGCTAACATAGTCTCACATCAGTAGGGATGTCGAGAATAAACGGGGTATCGCCCGGCCAGAGCTCGAGGTCAATTAGAGAAAGCTGTGCAGATCGAAAAAGTGTTGCCTGCCGCCGAGATGATCATCACTTTGGCCTGGTTCACCCCCTGGGCGTGGATCTATAACTGGTCAATTGAAGACATTCGTTTGATGTCTTTGCCAATGAAAAAGGGACACTGTAGTCGAAAGAGTCATTCTTCTAAAAGCAGTTGACCAGAGGGGCAGTGCACAGCTAATTACGACCCTGGGGGGCGTTGTTGACTCACAATTAGTTCATGAATTTAATAAGGACAGTCAGAGGGGAACTGCCCCGCCAACCGCAACGGATGTTGACCCTTCCAACCTTTCGTTGAAGTTCCCCAATCCACCACCACCTTGGTCCTTCCTGTGAGCATTCGACGCCTGTGTGCTCTTTCCTGCGGTGACCTCCTCCTCGAAATATTATAGTGGGTCTGTGAGATTCCACTGGAGTTTCTTCCTGCTCCTTCCTGACCTCCCCTCGAGCTCGTCCCAGCATGAGCGCAAACAACGCCGAGGCTCTCTCTGAGTCTCCTATTCCCGGCCACACGGGCAAGCAATCCGTGGACCCCTATAACGTACAGGGAGAAATCGACGAGCATGGCAATGTCAAAGCGATCGACTACAACAAGTTGACCGAGGAATTTGGCACCAAGCTCATCGACCAGGCGCTGCTCGACCGGTTCGAACGGGCAACGGGCCAGAAACCACATCGCTTCATGCGCCGAGGCATTGTCTTCAGCCACCGAGACCTCGAGGTCATCCTCGACCGCTACGAGAAGGGGGAGCCCTTCTTCCTGTACACTGGCCGCGGGCCGAGTTCCGACAGCATGCACATCGGCCACACGATCCCCTTTACCTTCACGAAGTGGCTGTCCGACGTGTTCGATGTGCCGTTGGTCATCATGTTGACGGACGACGAGAAGTTCCTGTTCAGCGAGAAGAGGACAATCAAGGAGGTGAAGGAGTACTCCATGCAGAATACAAAGGACATCATTGCGTGCGGGTTCGACCCCAAGAAGACATTCATCTTCTCCGACTACAAATACATGGGCGGCGCCTTCTGGGAGAATGTCACACAGGTGGCCAAGCTTATCACCTGGAACCAAAGCAAGGCCATATTCGGTGGCGACGGCAGCACGAATATCGGCAGGGCTTTCTTTGGCGCCATCCAGGGCTCGACGGCGTTCGCCTCCACGTTCCCTCACATCTTCGGCGACGACGCAGAACTCACCAACAAGATCCCCTGCCTCATCCCGTGTGCTATCGACCAGGACCCGTATTTCCGCATGACAAGGGATGTCGCAGCTCGCCTTCACTGGGCCAAGCCCTGCATGATTCACTCGCGGTTCCTCGACGCCTTGCAGGGCCCGGGCTCCAAGATGTCCGCATCCATTGACTCTTCCGCCATCTTCATGAAGGACACACCCAACCAGATCAAGAACAAGATCAACAAGTACGCCTTCAGCGGCGGCAGGGAGACGCTAGAGGAGCACCGAGAGAAGGGCGGTCAGCCCGAGCTTGATGTCAGCTACCAGTATCTGAAGTACTTCATGGAGGACGACGAGGAGCTGAAGAAGGTCCACGACTCGTACAAGAAGGGCGAGATGCTGACGGGCGAGCTCAAGGCGCTGTGCATCAAGTACCTGCAAGATTACGTAAAGGAGTTCCAGGAAAACCGGGCCAAGGTGACGGACGAGGTTCGCGATCACTTCATGGCCATCCGGCCACTCGAGTGCAAGGGCAACCCCAAGGCACAAATTGAGCTGCCCATCCGTGCAAAGGCAGCGGCTGGTGGGGAAGGGGCCGGCGAGGAGGGTGCCGGAGACGGAAAGCTGACCAAGAACCAGTTGAAGAAGCTCGAGAAGCAGAAGCAGATAGAGGCCAAGAAGTTGGCCAAGGCGCAGGAGAAGGAGGCCAGCACAAAAGAGTAATCGACAAGAATCAAGCGGATGTAGATCGCATGCCAGGCATCCTCCCGTCAGGCTAGACAGCTTAGGTTTTATTCTAGAGGGCCTATCGCAAGCTAATACCACAGCCAGGGAGAGCTCTGTCATTGACTTAGAAAGCAAGGACATGGCCCCAAAGCTTGTCTTCACGTGGGCTGTCTTGCGTTCGTTGGACAGCGAGCCTCGTCACGGCGGGGGACGCCGGATTGTCTCCTAGACCGGGCTTATTGTGATGCCATTATTCCTCTCACTGCATGCGCAAGTCTCTGCAGGTGAAGTGCACGAGAGAGAAGTACACAAAATGGCAACTTGCAGCGAACCTCCCGCCTTACAGCCCATCCCATCTTGCTCAATCGTCCCATGTCATGCGCCGCCCAATCGACATGCATATGGCTACCCGAATTGCCCCCAGGCCCCAACTATGACGGACGAGACGAAACCTGCCCAGTTGGCCAATCGTAACCCGGAAGTGCGGGCGCCGGCTGCATGGTTGCCGGTTCGGGCTGCCGGTGCTCCACACCGTTCCTCATTCTCTGAGCTTCCTTCCGAGCGAAACCCGCGCCGATGTAGCTCCTCCCTCCCTGCCCGCCAACCCCATGGGATGCTTGGCTAGCCCTGACTCCTGGCTTTTGGGCTGGGGCTCCCGCCCTGGTACTGGGAGGGGTCGAACGAACCATGCCGCCTAAAGCCATGAGCCGTTGAATGACTAGGTGGGAGGGAGGAGCCCACTAGGAATGCACTCTGGGGAGGTTAGCTTTATCCGGAGGCGAGTACAAAGACCGCGGCACCCTCCCGAGATGTTTGTTTCCGGTCGTCACAATACACGCCGTTTTTAATTATCTTTTCCGGCCTCTGTCCCTCTGTTGACCTAGTTTCTCTGCCCATGTTGTGAAGGTTCCTCGTGTCCTCATTCGGGGTGAGCTACTCTCAGACCCTCACTTGCCGCCTACCCAGAGTCAACGGGCACTAATACTCCCCGCCAGCGACGCCGTCGAAAATAGATAGATCTATACTAAAGTGTTTACATTGCTCACCCACGGCTTCATTGCGCACTTCTCCCCGCCCGCCCTGGAGAGGACCGTCCAACAGGAAGTCAGTCAAAGATGCCTCTCCCAACGAAAGACCTCTTCCCAGGTGGGGGACCCATGTTTGGCAAGTTCAGCAGCAGGAGAAGCGTCGTGCATAGCACCAAGGGCATCGTCGCTTGCACCCAGCCCCTGGCAGCCAAATGCGGCATCGAGATCCTCGACGCCGGCGGCAACGCAGCTGTAAGTCCCGGCCCCGTACCCGTCGCACGCCTGGGACCTAGCCTGACGAGACCTTTTCCCCCTGTTGCAGGATGCTGCAGTCGCGGTGGCAGCCGGCATGAACATGACGGAGCCCTGCTCCACGGGCATCGGCGGCGACATGTTCTGCCTGTTCTACGACGCCAAGACCTCCAAGGTCAGCGCGCTCAACGGGTCCGGGCGGTCGGGCGGCAAGTGCACCCTGGACCAGCTCCGGCGGGACATCGGCCGCGATGTCCCTGACATCCCGGACCGCAGCGTGCACGCCGTGACGGTGCCGGGCGCGGCGGCCGGGTGGGTGGACACGGTCGACCGGTTCGGGTCCGGCAGGCTCAGCATGGAGCAGATCCTCGCGCCGGCGGTTAAGCTGGGCGAGGGCGGCTTCCCCGTGGGCGAGCTGACGTCTGATATGTGGACCAGGTCAGAAGGCCTAATCAAGGGGGCGAGCGCCAACGGCGCCGAGATGCTCAAGGCGGACCCGGCGGCGGCCGGGGGGTGCAGGGCGCCGGGGCCGGGCGAGATCATGAAGAACCCGACGCTGGCGAGGACTTTCCGGACGCTCGCCACGGAGGGGAAGAAGGGCTTCTACACGGGGCGCATTGCGGAGGCGATCGTCGAGGTGGTGAAAGCCAAAGGCGGCCACCTGGAGCTGGAAGACCTCGAGGACCATCTCGAGCGGGGCAGCGAGCCCGTGGAGCCCATGTCGCTCAAGTTCAGGGGCCAGGGCCTGCAGAGGGGCAAGAAGCGGCAGTCGGACGGCACGGTCAAGGACAGCGACGTGGACGAGGGCGACAAGGGCGTCGAGCTCTGGGAGCACCCGCCAAACGGGCAGGGCATCGTGGCGCTCATGGCGCTGGGCATCATGCAGGAGCTCGAGAGGCAGGGCGAGATCCCGACCTTTACGGCGGACAAGCACAACTCGGTCGAGTACCTGCACGCCGTTATTGAGTCGCTGCGCATCGCCTTCGCCGACGGCAACTGGTGGGTCGCCGACCCCAACGTCTCCCAGGTCCCCAGCGCCGGGCTCGTCGACCCGGCCTACCTCGCCCAGCGCGCCAAGCTGTTCGACAAAACGAAGGCGTCCAGCGCCTCCCTCGACCGCGGGTCGCCGGCGCTGCAGAGCAGCGACACGGTGTACTTTGCCGTGTCCGACGCCCAGGGCAACGCCATCTCCTTCATCAACTCCAACTACGAGGGGTTCGGGACGGGCATCATCCCCAGGGGCTGCGGCTTCACGCTGCAGAACCGCGGCGCCAACTTCGCTCTCGGGCCTGCGGGCCACCCCAACCTCTACGCGCCGCGCAAGCGGCCCTACCACACCATCATCCCGGGCCTGGTGACCAACGTCGGGGACGGCTCGCTGCACAGCGTCTTCGGCGTCATGGGCGGCTTCATGCAGCCGCAGGGCCACGTCCAGGTGCTGCTGGGCCAGATCATCGGCAAGCTGAGCCCGCAGCAGGCGCTGGATGCCCCGAGGGTGTACGTCTCGCCCAATACCGACGGGGGGCCCGTTACCGTCCACGTGGAACGCGGCATTTCGGAGCAGGTCGTCAACGGGCTGAAGGCCCTGGGCCATTATGTCGACGGACCCGTAGGCGGTCTTCAAAGATCGATGTTCGGGAGAGGGCAGATCATCAGGTGGACGGTTGATCCGGTCGAAGGGACCGGGGTTTGGTCCGCCGGCAGCGACCAGCGGGGTGATGGGGCAGCCTATCCTGTGTGAGACGTATGGGCGTATTGCGTTATGTCGCGTGAATGTTAACGTAAGAGTTGGTGTTGCGCATATATATTCGGGCTAGACTCTTTAGCTCAACCTCTGATGGTCATGTGTATCGTTGCAACCCTTGTCTGTAACTTGTTGCAAATGCGTTTCGTTGTTAGTAGTAATATACAAGGCTCTCATCTGAAACCCTGATGGTCTGTACAATAGCCCACAGCATACATCGATAAATCTGTTGCCATCTATGCAATGAATGACCTTGCGCCCGTGTGGCAGTAGTCGCCACGCCACTACTACTCCTTTTTCTCCTCGCCCTCGGTGGCCTCGGGGGCTGCTAGGACCGTCTTCTCCTCGAGAAGTTTCGCAAGCTCGCCGTTCTGGTGCATCGAGATCAGGATGTCGCAGCCGCCGACGAACTCCTTGTCGACGTATAGCTGGGGAATAGTGGGCCAGTCCGAGTACTCCTTGATGCCTGCCACCAGTATCACATTAGTACTTGGTCCCTTGCCAGGACGGTCGAACCACCGCATGGCCGCCACCCTCGGGGACGTCTACCCACCTGCGCGCAGCTCGGAATCCTCCAGAACGTTGAACGCGGCGAACTTGTTAGGGTCGACGCCCTGCAGCCCCAGGATCTGGATGCTGGCCCTCGAGAAGCCGCATTGAGGCGTCTCAGGCGTGCCCTTCATGAACAGTACCACCGGGGCCGAGGCGACGGCCTTGTCGATTGCTTGTCTTGTGGAATCGGACAGGAGGCGTTGTTGTGCGAGCGACAGCATGGGCGATCGCAGGAAGGCCGGGGCGGCCGGTCTCGAGGCTCGCGACGCCAGGGACGACGCCGCTGGGCGGGCGGCTTGCCGAAGCAGCTGCTGCGAATAGTGATTAGTATTTAGTCGTGTTCCTAGCTCGAGAGGAAGACGCAGGACTCACTGGTGATAGTATTGGCCGCATGAACATCTTGGGCGTCTTGATGTGAAGAAGACGAACAGGTTGTTGAGAGAGGCAAGCTGAGTGCTATCGGTCCCAAGTTCTGATGGCGTCAGTTGTTGGTAGGTGGGCCCAGAAAGTTTGACCAGTGCCGAGACGCGATAGGTAATAGGTACGTACCTAGGTACGTACATGTAATAATTACTTCCGTCAACGGACAACCTCATCTCATCATCACCCGCTTATTAACGGCAATCTATGAGTCTTCTACACAAGCATGTAGATTCTGGAAGACAATGGGTTCGCATCAACAGCTATTACAAGATCTGGTACAAGGATTTCGTAACCCTGCACCCCGCCTCGGAATCAAACACTCGGAGTCACTCGAGTCTCAACCGACTTCGGCACCGTCTCATTGTTTTTGTCAGCGGTTTGATTTCTCATCTACATACAACAAACCACATAGACCGCAACCTTTAGCACAGTTCTCGGAGGCCATAAACGGTGCATCCAACCCGACCAGCATATCTGCATGACAAGTTGACAACAACTGTGCTCAGTAGGTCTTCCTTAGTCCCTGCTCTGCTACGTGCACCCGAAGGCATCTGTGTGAGGCGTTGGCATCTTTGTGAGTTGTAGGACAAGGCATCAAGTGTTGATAGTTGATAGCTGCACAGGCTGTTGGATGTGAACAATACCGGAATCTCAAGACCTTATAAGCACATCTATCCCTAGCATATCTGCGCTCCCAATTGCAGACTCGGAATTTCTCAAAGTTACAAAGTTGCCTCACACCACAGCCCTCCCAGCCATGGCAGCCACCACACCAACAGCCACCAGCTCTACGCCGACCAACGTGCTGGCTGAACTCACAGCCTCGCGGGATGACGGCAAGGTGCACCTCCTCCTCGCCGCCTCCGGCTCCGTAGCAACAATCAAGATCCCCAACATCGTAGCCGCGCTGACCAAGGCCCACCCGCCATCGACCCTCTCCATCCGGCTGATCCTCACCTCGTCCGCCTCGAACTTCCTCGCCGGCCAGGCCGCCGAGCAGCCCGACCTGCAGTCCCTCCTCGCCATGCCGGGGCTGGACGGCATCTACCACGACGGCGACGAGTGGGGGCGCGGCCCGTCCGTCGGCCCCGAGGAGGGCGTCTGGCGCCGCGGCGGGCCCATCCTGCACATCGAGCTGCGCCGCTGGGCCGACCTCATGGCCGTCGTGCCCCTGAGCGCAAACACCCTGGCCAAGGTCGTCGGCGGCATCTGCGACAACCTCCTGACGAGCGTCGTGCGCGCGTGGGACGCCGACGGGCGCGTCGACGGCCGCAGGAAGAGGATATTGGTCGCCCCGGCCATGAACGTGAGTGCCCCTGGGACACGTGACCCCCTCCCCCACCCCCTAGCCACCTCAAGGACGCGATATGGCGATCCTCAGACCAGAAAGAACGCAACTCGGACTGACCACAGGAAACAGACGGCCATGTGGCTCCACCCCATAACAGCGAAGCAGATCCGCGTGCTGGCCGAGGACTGGGGCGTCGTCGAGGCCGCCGACGGGACGATAGAGTCGGGCTGGTTCGAGGTCCTCCGGCCGCAGGAGAAGAGTCTTGCCTGCGGGGACGTGGGGGATGGCGCCATGAAGGAGTGGACCGAGGTCGTGAGGATAATAGAGGCGAGGCTGGGCTTAGGATCGGATCAATGACCATGACAGTACACGAAGGCCTGGGGAGGGCAAGAGTTGGAGGTGTGATTAATTATGCCCGTGTCGTGCCATTGAGACGTGAGACAAACACATACCAAGTTTACAAAAACGAAGACCTTACTCATCCAACGTGATGGAAAACGTTCTCTTGCAAAATGTGACTCTTTTAGACAGATGAGCTCATTATCCATTTGATTTCTGCAGCGTAATATTACATTACTAAACACTATCGCCAGTGGCAGAGGACTGCAGATGTCTCTCCCCACCAGATGGAAACCCCTTTCTTATTCATGCGTGCCTTTCCTTTTTGCAACCAACCAGCTCATGCAACCCAAACGCCACAGCCAACTACGAAAAGCGCCTGGGGAGTCGAAGCCTGACACCGCCCCCCCCCCCTTGTTTAGACGCTCCTGCTTGGGGACATTCTGAAAATGTGAATTGTCGTGAAGACAGGCAGACACCCACTGTCAATCAAGCCTTGTCTTCTGGACTGAAGAGAAACCGTCCCAATGATGATGCAAATGATAAGTAGCACTGTCGTGCTGAAGAAAGGAATAGAATGTCACGCCATGGCCCCTCCTACAAGATGGTGGGTTTTCACGGTCGTAATCCCGTTCGCGCTGACTTTGTTCAATAGTGGGTTGTTCGATGGCGCTCTTTGCAACACCCTGCCCGGGTATTTCGTGGTGCGCAAGGGGACGGCAATCATGGTAGTCTTCACCTAGTCGTGTCGGAATGTACAAGAATCACCCTTGCTGCACATTCCCTTGGCCCAGAATGTACAGGGCTTGGTGCCGATCTTGTTGGGATTGATGCCACGGGGCACGTTGTTCACGTGTTTTCCACCGCGGCCCTTATCCCGACGTCCCGGATGATCCGCATCTCGATCTCTATCATAATCACGGTCGTCGTCGGCTGGTTGACCACTATTTGTTGGCTGTTGTGTCCGTTGGGATTGGTCTGGCGCCTGACCTGCAGCAAGAGACATAATGTATGCCATGTAGTCAGGGTCGGTGTGGTTGGGAGCAGCGTGTTGTGGTTGTGGTTGTTGCTGGGCGGCTGAGGTGCCACTGAGGCTTGCGAGCAAGGCTTGGAGGTGAGGATCTGCTGCAGCCTGAGCTGGCTGTGGTTGGGTTTGGGCGGGTGTGGCACTGAGGGCAGCTAGGACAGCTTGAAGCTGGGCGTTAGACTCTCCGGCAGCTTGCACTGGGGCACCTTGTTGTTGAGAAGGCTGTGCAACTTGTTGATAAGGGTCGTAAGCCTGTGCATACGGCGTCTGCGCAGCCGCTTGAGCCTGATGGGCTTGGTACTGCTGGAGCTGCGCGTAGTAAGCCGCCCAGGCTGCTGCTTGTTGGTCTGTGGAGCCTTGAGCGGCCGAGGGCATCTGTTGCTGTTGAGCAGCGGCAGGTTGAGCAGCAACAGGCTGTGCCGCCTGCTGCTGATGGGCTCGCTGCTCCACCCGTTGTCTATCTTTGTTGTATCCGTGCCACCATTCTGCAACCTTCGCGGCGTCATGCCTCATCCACTCAGGAGGTTCGGTGGGGGGCACGGGTTTGCCCTTGAGCATCTCTGCCACGTCCTCGACCAAGTCGGCTGCTGGTTGAGTTCCAGGATCCGCGTAGTCGTAGCGACGGTGCGTCTTGGGGTTTGCTGGATCGTAGGGGTTGGGGTCCCTCCACTGCTTGACTTGCTCAGAAGTGAGGAGCGCAAAGACTTGATCTTCTCTGGACATGTTTTGATGAAGGACGGTCGCGGTCGTGTCAAAAGCGCCCGACGCATTGGAGTGCATGTTGAGCTGGCCTGTGGCGCCAGACAATGGAGCCTGTCCTTTCTGGGCCCTGCGCAACGCGTTCAGTCGCGCCCAAGACAGCCCACGCGAGCTTGCTTCGTTCCAACGGAGATGGATTTCAGCGAGCTGTGGTTCGCCTTGTGGCAAGGACGCAACGGTGCCTGACTGCATGTCTGTGTCTTCTTGCGGTCGCGTGTGCGGGGACTTGGGCGTGGGAGGGATGTCAGATGGATCGGTGTAGACGACCATCAATTCCTTGCTTTCACGCTCCACAATGGCTTTTTGCTGTTCGGTTTCGAAATCAACCAGGCCCCCACGAGTAACAAATTGCTTGTCCCTCCTTCCGTGAGGGATTGAAGAAAAGTCGATGGCGGAAGGCTCAAACCACGGTCGGTAAGGTAGCTCGTCTTCTTCGTCTTCGTCTTCGAGTTGCGTGCCACCCTGCAATCCCTGCTTGAGCACCATGCCTTCAGACCTGTCATCACGTGCGTCGCGTATCATGTTGCTGGCTCTGCCCTCGTCCTCGAGGCTCTCCCTGTGGAAGACTCTGACCTCCGTCAGTGCATCATCCTCCTTCCAAGTGACCCTCAAATGGCGTCTCTTTTCCTTCCGTAAGCGCCTGGCTCTCTCCTCTGGGGTCTCGTCCTTCTTAACCTTGGACTCCCTTTCGGGCGTCGTGCGTCCGGCCGCCTTCGGTTTCGAAATTTCGTCCAGGAGAGAACCAATCCCACCAAACTTGGAAGTAACGGGTGCATCGTCTTTGGCCGGTTCTGTCTTCCTCGTCTTTGTGATCTCTGGTCTTGGTGGTCCGCCTTCCTTCTTGACCTCGGTCTTGCTCAAACCACCTTCAGGCTTCACTAGCGGAGCTTTCGGTGCGGATTTGGAGACGGCTTTTGCCTTGGCACCCAGCATACCACTCCCAGAGAACAGCTTGGCCTGAGGAGTGGTGGTACTAGGAGGGACCACCACCTTGGACGGCGCGGGCTTATGGCCGGGAAGATTTGCTTGTGAGGCGGAGGGCTCAGTCGCGACTCTCTTTGCGGACTTCGTGTCGCTCTCCTCGTCACGAGGCCGCTTCGCAGATGACACAGTTGGCGGCACCTTGGCAGATGTTGTGCTCGGTACTTTCTTCTTAGAGCCGTCGGCAGTAGCACCGCTGGGTGCAGGCACGCCCTTGTAGGGTGCATTAGGGGGATCTGGGGTCGAAGTGCCCTCTACACCGTCCAGCCGCCCTTCCTTCAGGACCTCCTCCTTGGTCTTCAAGTTCTCCTTGATTTTCTTCACCAGTTCCTTCACGTCTGCATCACCTTTGGACTCGAACTTTTTGCTGATCTTGGCAAACTGGAGGTTTGTCATGAGGAATTCCCTTTCCATGGTCGTCACCTCCGACATCAGCCGCAACACGGCTTTTGCAGCTTTACCGTTGTGGTCAGCGGAATTATTGGCGTGGATCAGGCATGTCACGAAGTCACTGATGAGCTTCTGATTTCCACCCAAATTTGCCAGAACTTGGTGGTCACCCCACTTGTTCGCTCCCTCCACGGCTCGACAAATAATATCCAACCTGCGCGCAACCTTTTCCTTCAAGGCAGCAGCGTCCCCCTCTTTCGCCGACTTAAGCTTTTGCTTTGTCGTCTGGAATTCGCCAGTGAGCCCTCGAATCAGCTTACCGTATGCAGCCACAGCGGCGCCAATTTCTGTCCCTGAAGGATTTGACTTTGTCAGATAGACCACACCGATTGAATCCCATTCAGCGGCATCAGCCTCGTCTGCCGGTCGAGTCTTGCTTCGTTTGGGGCCTGGCTTGCGAGAGGCTTTCTCCTTGGCAGCTGCAGTCTCTCTCATCCTTTCCGCGTAGTGAACGGGCACAACTCCCCCGAAATGCTGCTTTAATCGCTGCTCCTGGTCGTTCTGTCCCACGCTATCATCTTTCTCCATAGCCCTGGACCATTCTTGTATGATCGAAGACGCAAGAGGTCGGAGTAGGTTACCTTGCGCTGGAAAACGGTAATCAAGTGGTCCGCCGATGATCTCATCTGGGTCCCTGAGATCGCCAATTGGTGTCTCTTGCTCCGAGCCGTCCTCGAGGTCCGCTGGAGGAGCAAGTGTGAACCCAATGTATCGCGACCGTACACTTGGTATCGCCTTGTCATCCTGCCTTATTACACGGGGCGGTGCAAGACCACCCACAGTAGCTTGTTGGAAGGAAGCTGGTGATTGCGTAGGCACATTGGCCCTCGGTTGAACGGTTGGCTGGGCGTTCGGTTGGGTGTTCGGCTGGACAGGCTGGACATACTGCTGCATAGTCTGTTGAATCTTGGGTTTGATGTTTTGTATTGGAGTAGTGTTGTTCATGGACAATGGGCTAGCCGCTGGCCGGGGCGCAGGCATGGTCTGTGAGGACATAGCTTGCTGGAGATTAGCCTGCTGGGGCATGAATCTACTTTGCGTCGTAGGCGGATTCGAGAGAATTGGCTGCGCTTTGGAAGCCGTCATCTGCTGGGGAGCCGAGAACGGCACTGCCGGACTGCCACGGCCATTTTGAACTCCGAATTGTCCCTGCTGCATGGGAACGGGAGGCATCTGATGGCCACTGAATGGAGACTGGCGGAGCTGTGTATTTGTGCCAAGAGACTGAGGCGTGCCTACTCTTGGTGCCTGCTGTTGGAAGCTCATCGTTTGGGGCTGACTTGGCTGCTGACTTCCGTTCTGCACTGGATGGACCTGCTGGTGTTGAATTATTGCAGGTTGCTGCTGATGCTGGTGCTGCTGCTGCTGCTGCTGGTGCTGCTGTTGTTGCTGACTCATGCTGGGTTGTTGGTACTCCATTGTATGTGTATGTCGCTGGTTCATCTGTTGAACCACTGGCTGGGGGGGGTGTTGCGGTGGGCTCCTAGCATTGGATGAGACTTGCTGGCCTGGTGAATAATTACGGCCCCCGGAAGGCTCTGCAAGATACTGATGTTGCTGCGCCAGAGTGGTGGGCATGTCCGGGGCGAATGTACCGGGCAAGCCATTTGCATGAGAGCCATGTTGCAAGCCACTACCATACGATATGTTGGTCAAGGGATTGGGCTCGAAGCCAAAGTCATAATCCCATGTCAATTCTTGCTGGCCATCCAGTGATATCTGGGCCGGGTGCGAGTACGTCTGAGGTTGTTGGTGGTTTGTAATGTGAGGATTGGGCCCGGAGAAGCCTTGGACTTGATATGGTTGCCCTTGGTCCTGGGTCTGGGGCTGATGTTGGTGTTGAGAGTGGTGCTGGGGTTGGGGCTGATACGATGGGTACCCATTCTCCTGCAGGAAGTGGCTTTCTTGGGGCTGCCACTGGTGGGCATGGCCAACAGAATAGGGGTTGTCGTCCAGACCACCACCAGGAGGAGCGCCAAAGGATGAGTTCACGAAGGGTCCTTGGCCCGGCTCAGGGCCATTCTGATTAAAATGGGAGTAGCCCCATGGCTGATGGTTATCACCACTGGCCATGGTATCTCCCCTGCCCATCTGCCGGTTGCTGATGGGCCTGGTCTGCGTTCTGCACTCTGCACTATGCACTCTGCCAGGCAATGGAGAAGGTCGTCACGTGCGGCCGCTGTGATTTATTGCGGTATCGGGTGTGCTGGAAGACCGGGCTGATGATTAGAATGCAATTAACGGGAAAATGAGCGTTCCGGGATGGTGAGGTGAATGAACGGTCCAAGATTGTCGACGGACAAGGATCTAGGGTGACGCTAGTCCAAAAGAGGAAAGGGGGAGGGACAGAGCTGGACCTAAGACGGATCGAGAGTTAGCGGCAGGTCACACACCAAGTTAACAAGTGTGTGTGCATTTGACGATCCGAAAGTGCTGGAAAACATGGGGAGAAAGCTTGACGATGCAGGGGATGGGCGGCATTGAAGCGGCCGTGGTATCTTGCAGCCGCCACTTGGGGCAAGCAGTCAGGCAGACAGCAATCATTGGGTTCGCATCCCAGACGGAAGCACAGCAGACAGTTTGACAGGCAGTCGGACGGAGTTTTGCAGCGTTGGTCGGAGCCTAAGCCTTGGCTTGGAGACGAGGATCCTTGGTTTGGGTTTGGTTCTGTTCTGTGTTGTGAAGCCGTCATGGCCTCATTCTGGTCCGGATTGGATTGACAGTGTTGCAGTCCGGTGTGTGACCAAGGGACACACAATTATACCGGTCCTTGTCCACGGGCGAGGCTGTGTGTGGAATCGTAGGCTGGTCGGGATGCAGAGAATGCTGGTACCGGGGCGATGGGAGGGCCGTGGGGTGCAGTGCGGGCTTCTGGCTGAGCTGCCTAACAGCAACGGCCTTGACCGTTCTGCTTGTCCGTCTCTCCCACCAAATTCGTGTCCTGTTCCCAGGTTCGGCGTAGAGAGGAAGCAGTCAAACAAAGAATGATGGGCAGTACGTGCAGTGCAGCCTTGGAGATGAAGCAGCTCAGTCAAGTCGAGCTGCTCTCACCCCTCAGGCCCTGACCGGTTTTAGAAGTGCCATTTGCCAACTCTGACTATCGCTGTCGTTTCGCTGCTGGGCGTGCGTAGGTGTGGGTGCGTGTGTGTGTGTGTGTCTGTCTGCCGTTCTGCCTGTCTGCCTGTCTGCCCGGCGCGTGGCCGGATCTGCATGAATCAAGACCAGAAGCTGATTGATGAGTTTTTTTTTTTCTGTCTTGCTTGCTGCTGCAGCACCTCCGATCCCTAGCTCGGACGACGAGCATCTGGAACCCGAAGATACACGCACTCATATTTTAAGAAGAGCCTTGTAAAGGCCACTGACGCTCGCAGTGTCTCTGTCGCAAGCTCGCCGCACCTGAGTCGTGTTGCAGTCATTCCCCCCTCAGGATGGAGGTGGGCAATTTTTTTAGTCGTTACCATCTGGAGGTGTGCTGCTGCTCACAGAATTCCCCTGGGAGTCCCATGCACCTCAAGAGGCTCCAGTGCGCATTTAAACGCGGCATCTGGGTCTCAACAGGCACGCGAAACAACAATTCAAGTATAGGTCATGATAACATACGGTAGTGCTGTGCTTGAGTGTGTGGTGATTGTCTGTGATGGGAGGAAAAATGTAGTTGGGGGCTTGGAGAGTGTAGATGCATACCCTGGATCCGTCCGTCCGCCTGCTTTGGGTGTTTTCAGAGGTCCAAAGCCAGCCCAGAGATCCTTCCTACGCCGCTTGATCGCGCCTTGGAGGCTCTATCCTCCATCAAGACAAAGCGACAAAGCTGAGGCACGTTACAACATCGCTCTCCCTCTCTGATACCCCAGAGACGGCGAGGCGCGTTCTGTCTATCTGAAAGGATTGACTTGACTGGCCTTGGCTTGGCTTGACTGGACTTGACTTGACTGCAATGAAGGAACAACCGAATCAACGACTTAAGAGTAAGGTGCAGCGCCAAATCCACGGATATTAAGAAGTTCCGAGATCTATCAGATTGGGGTGGGCGATCCCGCTCCAGATGATGGACTTTGATAGTCTCTACGTGGAGGACGGATGTCGTCGCGGTTGTGTTGATGGTTGAAAGGAAGAGGGAGGTCGGGAGGGAAAGGAGATGGTGGATGGGATGCCGCAAGGAAAAGGGAAAAGGGCTAGCTGGTCATTGTTTCATCAGCACTCAGCGCCCAGCTGCCCAAAAATGGAGGTCACCCAGCCAGCCCAGCTCAGTCAAATCGGCTAGCGGCCGTGCCAGCCACAGCAGGTAAAGGTATGCGCCTAGGCAGGAGGAAGCGCAGGGGACGGGGGCCGGCGGGCAGGTGATTGTGGGCAAGTGCAGCTAGAGGTGCACGGTCGCAGCTTCCAGGGCCGCAGGGTGAAGCAGACTGGCAGACCAAGGGAGACCTGCCCTGGCACAGGCGCCTCGGCTAGGTGGGATCCATCGTCCTTCGTTGGACCAGGTCCCACTGGCCTGCCGCATTATGTCAGCTTCCAGAGCAGCAGCGCAGGAATACAGGCTCACAGCTACGTATTGTGTAAGTCAGAGGAGCTTCAGACACCCTCCAAAGCCTGCCAGTCGGCCACTCTCGAAGTTCTACGAGGACAGCTGTCGCCAAAGTGCAGCCTGCGCCAGCAACAGTCATCAGGCTGGCCAGCATCACTGCGAGTCCTGCTGTCTTATATCTGGACACTTCTTGCCGACTCAGATTCGCCCCCTGGAAACGTGTCTCTGCGCCGCCAAACCGCCCATGCCGAGCTCCCACCCAAAGAACACCACCGCTATCAAAGCAGTCAATAGCTGCTCCGAACAGTCATTATGGCAGCGCGCGGCGCCTCGTTGCGCGACAAACAGATCGCGTCGCTGAAGAAGATCTTGAACCTGAACGAAGACGTCGAAGCCGGTGACAACGACGACTCGCATGCCAACGGCCTCGCAACCTCGCCAATCGCCTGGAAGGTCCTCGTCTTCGATGACCTAGGGCAAGAGTACGGATGCTATGTTCTTTCTCGAAGTAGTTGGGCGCCGTGTGCTGATGTTGAGGGACTACAGTGTCATCAGCTCCGTTCTGAGGGTCAGCGATCTCCGGAGCCTGGGGGTCACGATACACCTGTGAGATATGCGCAAGTTCCTGTCAATGTTGAGGGGGTTTGGGCTGACATGAGAGACGACTAGGAAAATCACGGCTCAGCGCGCACCAATACCCGACGTGCCGGTTGTCTACTTGCTGGAGCCGAATGCGCAAAACCTCCAAAGGATTACTGAAGACCTTCAGAAAGGACTATATACCCCTGCATACATCAACTTCCTGTCCTCGATCCCTCGACCGCTGCTCGAAGATTTTGCGACAATGACCGCCACGGCAGAAACATCTGAGCAGATTGCGCACGTTTATGACCAATACCTGAACTTCATTGTTGCCGAGCCAGATCTGTTCTCCCTGGGCATGGAGAAGGATCACGTGTATTGGGCCCTGAACAGCGCAAAAACAAAGGACGAAGAGCTTGACCACGTCGTTGACAAGGTTGTCAGCGGGCTGTTCTCCGTCATCGTCACCATGGGCGTCATACCAATCATACGAGCCAGTCGCGGTGCTGCTGCTGAGATGATAGCCCAGAAGCTTGACCGGAAACTCCGTGATCATATCTTGAATTCGGGCTCCAAGGACGGCCTTTTCTCGAACCGACCCAGTTCGTCTGCTGGAACCCCTACGTCGCGGCCTGTCCTTGTCCTCCTGGACAGAAATGTTGATCTTACACCGATGCTTTCACATGGCTGGACCTACCAACACCTGGTACATGATGTTCTAAACATGAAGCTGAACCGCATTACAATCGAGACGCCCGTCGATGAGTCAAAACCTGAGAAGGGAGTTACGAAGAAAGCGTACGACCTGACGGCCAATGACTTCTTTTGGTCCAAGAACTCGGGTCTGCCATTCCAAGAAGTGGCAGAAGACATCGATGCGGAGCTGAACCGATACAAGGAGGAGTCAGCCGCTATCACAAAGAAGACCGGCATATCAGATCTCGAGAATCTTGAGATGGACACGAGTGCCAGTGCTCAACATCTCAAGGCCGCGCTCACAGTACTTCCGGAGCTCAGGGAACGGAAGGCTGTCTTAGACATGCACATGAACATCCTGGCTGCCATCTTGAGTGCGATTCAAAAGCGAGCTTTGAATGTAAGCAAACACTGTCAGCGAAGATCTGACAAGCGTGGCTAACATGGAACCAGGAATACTACTCAATAGAGTCGAATGTGATGAAACAAACGAAAGCACAGATCCTGGACTTGATTAAGGACAAGGAAAAGGGCGACACCGCGTTGGACAAGTTGCGTCTCTTCGTCGTCTGGTTCCTCAGCACAGAAACAGATATCGGCAGGGCAGAGTGGCAGCAGTTTGAGGAAGCCCTCACGGCAGCGGGGGTCGACGGCACCTGTCTGCCATACATAAGACAGTAAGAAGCACCTCGTCTTCAGCAGATCTGGCAGAAACACATACTGATACTGGAACACAGAGTCCGTGCTACGACGAAGATGACACAACTCACAACTCTGGATTCCTCCACAGCTCAGCAGCAGCCATCAGCATCCTCAGACCTCTTCAACCGCTTCTCAAATATTTCTTCGCGGCTCACAGATCGCCTCAAGGAGACAGGCGTACCAACAGGCGCCCTTTCAGCCAATTTCGATTCGATTGTCGGTGGACTGAAGAATTTCCTCCCCGCAAATCAAGACCTTACCATCACCAAAATCGTCGAGTCCATCATGGACCCGTCCAGTGCCGCTTCGTCGGCCATAGCCAAGACAGAGAACTACCTCTACTTCGATCCGCGAAGTGACCGCGCAAGGGGCACTTTGCCACCGCCCTCTACTCTGCGAGCCGGGGGTGCCGCACCAGGTGCGATGCCAGGCAGCGCGAATCTCGGGCCAGGATCAGGAGCATCTTTCGGGCAGAGAAGACAGGGTTTCTCGGAGGCTGTCGTGTTCACGGTGGGCGGTGGGAGCATGGATGAGTATGGCAACTTGCAAGAATGGATAAAACGTACGGCAGGCAGCGGGGACCGGACGAAGCGAAGGATCGTGTATGGAAGTACGGAGCTCGTCAATGCTGCCGACTTCATCAAAGAGGAACTGGAGAGGTTGGGACGAGAGGTGCAGTAGACTGGTCGCGCAGTCCGCCTGGACGACCAAGGCCTTGTTGGTGGACAAAGCCTGGCCCTCGGAACCAGAGCTTTGCAAGGCAATTGAAAATAACTTGAAGCCGCGTCACTCGTCCGCACACTCACCTACGACCTGACTATAATATCTATACCATGAATCGCCGCACCCAGCACTTCATGTGCAGTGCCGCATTCAAGGACCACGGTGACAATCTAATCCGGTCCTCTCTAGTCCGCCCTTGATCTTGGGCCCTCGCGTCCTTGCCGGTTTGCTGGACAACAACCGCCCTGGCGACCAGGATAAATGGGCAGGCTGCTTCGGCAACATCCGTCCGCGTGTAGGCAGGTAGGTGAGGTTGCTAGTCGGCCGTAATCTTCGGCTCCCGGCACTCCATGGTTAGTCTGCAGGAAGCCGATGGGAATCTCCGAGCCCTTCGTTGGGCGCCCAACCCGGCCGTCAGCCCGGGGAGATATAGTCATTTCCAATCCAATTTTCGTGCCTCTATTTTGGGGGCTTTGTGCGGTGCGCCACTACGGGGGGCTCACGCGTCAGCAGTGTCAGTGTGTGTGTGTGTGTGTGTGTGTGTGTGTGTGTGTGTGTGTGTGTGTGTGTGTGTGTGTGTGTGTGTGTGTGTGTCAGTATGGACCGAAACACTGATCCTGTTTCTGTTCCTGTTCATGAGCGGAGGCTGCCAGAGCCCCGAGGAGGGGTGTTATATAAAAAGCAACGACTCCCATTCGGGTCGAGTCATGAATAAGCCTTTTTTGCCCAGGCATGGCAACCCCCGCCCCTCGTGGAATTATGTTGATGTAAGATGGGCAGTAGTGTAAAACGGTGCTCCACGGGCCGAGCCCCTTGTCCAGCCTGGCTGAACCATCTGATTACGTACGCTCGCGGCCGCGGTGAGGCTCCTCACCACCAAGCACCAGGAGTTCGGCACCTTTCTTGCCCTGGCGGCAGGGGCCCGCTTATTTACACTCGCCGGCCCAGGGTCCCAGGGTTTTGTTTGTCTTGGCCGGCGACGGTTGAGTCGGGTCTAGCAACTGGTGTTTTGGGTGAAACCCCCGCCTGCCGGAATGAAGGAGCCCACAACCCACATCAATGGCGAGATGTTGATACCACGGAGAGGGACGAAGTGTCTGTTCTTCACAGATCTTGCATACAGCCGCGGCAACGGCTGCATATGCGCCCGCAAGCTTGGCTACAGCCCTGTCCGGGCCCAGAACACTTTGCAGAGGAGAGGGAAGGTGGGAAGAATATCCGCAAACGGTCGATTGGTTAACAACAGGGTATCGCACTTTTTTGGGAAATCAAATCGCTCGGAACAAAGTATGTACAGGAAATCGTAGCCAGGATATGCGGTCGGTCCTCAGAGGGCCGAGCCGATGTGAACCACGCGCTCGTCGCCGTTGCTGAAGGTCGACCTCGACTCCCTCTGGTCCCGGTGGTCCTCGGTGCTCAGCTTCTCGAGGTCCCGCAGCTCGAAGTGCTCCACCGTCCTGGTGCCAACGTTCAAGCCCGCCTCGCCGCCGTCGTCGCCGTGGGCTGAGGCTGCAGTGCTGCTCCTCCTGCTCCCTGCGTCGCTCATCACGTCCGAGAGCGAGTGCGGGTTGTTTGCCGCCGCCCACGCCCGGCTGTTCCTCGCCGTCTTGTTGGTGCCCGTGCCCACAGTGGGGATCTGGCCGGCCGTCTCGTTCAGTTTGGTCGACATGAGCGAAATCTGCAGGTCCTGTATGATCAAGCGGATCACGGGCAGCGTCTGCACGATGATGGTGCCCGCCACTTCGGCCTGGTACCAGATCTCTGTGTGGCCCTGTCTCCAGACGTACCACGAGTCATACGTGTTGAGATTCGGGTCCAGCATGTACCAAGTGCGTACGCTTGTGAAGATGGCGATTCTGAAGTTTATCGAGTCAGCAGATGGCCGGGAGATTACTATCGACATCGATTCAGGCGGTACTTACACTGTACCCAGGCTCATGGCCACGCAGAGGCCGACCTTCTCGTACCTCTCGATCCTCAGCTTCCACGTGACCAGCCATGGGAACAGAGACAGGACAAAGTCTATGATGATGTTGAACACTGCGCAAGATCTGTCAGCACCTAGTGCTTGAGCACCGGCGCGGCACGATGCCCGCGTGGGAAATGACTCACCATTCTGCCCGATCTTGATCTGGAAGACGGTGTCATACGGGGCGCACACGCCTGGCATTTTCCACCAATATGCGTCCTGACCGCAATAGTTGACCCAGTTGAGGAAGAGCAGGATGACGAGGTAGAGGTTGAGCGACACTATGATGACCCATAACGCATACCTCTGCCAAGACTCCGTGATCCTTAGCAGGGTCACGGCGAATGCTGTCTTTGAGAGGGTCTGGCCGACGGTGATGAGGCATGATGATATCGAGACGAGGATGAGCATGCGGTCGTCCCATGTCTCGGAGACGTAGCCCGTGCGGAGCTCGACGGTGATGAAGATGTTGGTCACCAGGAGCACCACCTAGCACATTGATCAGCATCGAGGACCGGGCGGAGGGGAACGACGGGGTGTGGTGATTCCCTTACCCATGAGGACACCAGTATATGATCATCCCACCAAAGCCCGTGGCGCCGATGTATTTTGCTCCACACGCGGAGCGTCAAGAATGCGGTTGCGCCCACGAACAACGTCCATATCCCCCAGTTGACCTGGCTCTCCGGGTTCACGAACTTCATGTCGGGCCCAGCCCGGGGGGTTTCCACGCTGGCGGAGCCGGAGGTGGTAGCAGAGCCGGTGCTGACCGACTCGTCCCTGGGGGGAATCATATTATAACAACAGTAGGAGGAGGAAGAGAATGTGCGGGCGATGACGAGGCCGTGCTGTAATCTACCGCGGAACGAGAGAAGGGTAGAGAAGAGTCCGGAGAAAAGAGAGGCTAGCCGCACAGGTAACGGGATGGCGGCATGATCGTGATGTGATGATCGGATCGGAGCAGGAAGTGACAGGCCGGGGAGGGAAGAGCCAGAAGCATCTCTCGCTCAACTCGTGGCGGCACCCCGAGTGCTGGGTCCGCGTGGGATTCTTATTTATTCCTGCCCCCCCTACCAGGCCGGGCGGGCGACGGTGGTGATACGAACGGGAAATGATCTGCCAGTGCGGGTCCAGTCTCGCAGGGCGAACCTCGGGGGCTGTGACAACGGGGACTCCACAAGTTCAATTTATCTGGCGCCTCCTTTCCCCGTGCCCCCTCTGTAAAGACCTGTGTTCCCGCCTCGTGAACACGTCTTGCTCCTGGCCGCGGAACCGGGTGTCGAGGAGGGAAAAAAAAACTTGTGGAAACCCACCCGTCGTGTGTGCCCGACTGCTTCTATTCGGAGAATTTCCATCGTCCAGATGGATAGCGTTGTGAGATTGCATCGGGACCCGTCAAGCCTCGTCAGGCGGCCGGCAGTCATCACCACGAGCCCTGACTGCCGTGTTGTGCAGTCCACCCAGGGCGCCATCGTGAAGTTCCCCCGGGGTTCTAGCCTCGGATTGCCGCGTGGGCGGGATGAGTGCCGTTCGTGACCGGGGCCGCATATGGGGCCAGTAGATCCACAAGCCACACACCTACGACATGCCCATCCCCACGAAACACTCAACCCTTTGCTCCATGTAATCTGCATGAGATGGACCGGCCGTGAAGAGTTTTCCGAGGTTATGAACGTTGGCGTCAACCACGAGGAGGTGGTCGCCAGTCTGGCAGCCTGGAAAAAACAACCGGCCATCAAGGGTAGCAGCAGGATCGCCAACCACCAGGTGTCAAAAGACCCGGTTGGCGACTCGAGAGGACCCGCAATCCCGTCGCGCACCACCCGTCACGCAACGCAGCGCATCGCAGCACAGCGCACCGTGAGAAGTGATGGGCGGGTGCCAAAACCGGCGGGCAGGACCGCCGCCTCACAAAGTCGCAAAAGGATCCATCACACCTTCCCGTTCGGTACCTGGCAATGCCAGAAGACAGTAAAAAGCCCGAGGAGCCTTATCTCTAACTCACAGACCACCTTGGCTGCAAAGCTAAGTCAAGCTCAGAATTTGTGCTTATATAAGGTATGGCTAGGGAGAACGGGCTAGCTTCGCGGCCAAGGTAATCTGTATCCAAAATGCTGCCTATATAAGAACCAAGGTACGCTCCCAATTTCTTTGCTTATCCTTAACAATAAAGCCTTTTTCTAACTTTTTATACTTTTTAGCAAATTTTTCTTAACTTACGTAAGTATTTTTCTAAGTTTCTTAAATAGTTATTAATTATTATCTCTTAAGCTATACTCTTTTTACTTAAAAATTAAGAAAATAAGATAAGGGTAATTAAAAAAGATACTTTATATATTTAAGTCCTCTTAATTAATTAATATGGTTATATTTTATGAAATGAAGGAAATTTAAGAAAATAAAAATAGGAAAAGAAAGCTTAATTAATTCTCTTATTTAGCATCTTATTTATATTAAAATTGCTAATTAAGAAGAATATGCAATTAAAAAGTATTTAAAGGGCGTTACTATCATTTTATATAAACGCATACCTAGGTTCCAAATTTTTTGCATTTTAATCTCAAATATCCATTAAACGCATTCAAACCCACCCCTAATAAGCCTGTTCTACACTGCCACCCTAGCCACTTTGATTAGTAAGGAAGCTCAGGCCCTAAAAACTAGAGCGTTTGATGGAGATCTGAGCTGTCTGAGATAAGAGGAGCCCCCTTGCTTCCTCCTGTGCCCAAGAGCAGACATGCACGCATCCTGGGCCCAGGGCCCACGACCCACCCAGCCGGTTCCTGCCCCACATGCCCATCACCTGCGCGAAACGAAACACCATCACCACCACCAGCACGCCAGCAGCAAGTCAGTCGCCCGGTCATGTGGGGACCAGCACCACCATCACCCCTCCTCGCCCCATTCCGACAGCGAGGTCACAAACATGATCACCCGGAGAAAAGCACAAGCAAAAGGGGAACCACGACCAGAATGCCATCCCAGCCGCCCGTCCATCTCATCCGTGCGCACATCCAGCGTGGGCCGAGGCCGGGCCCCTCGCCTCAAACTCATGCCGACACCCGGGGCGCCGTGGACGCCGCCAGCCGAACAGTGCTTTCATTGCTCATCTTGCATCGTGAAACAAGAGGCTCCCGGTGGGGACCGCTTGTGCCGTGCACAACAACCTCGCATACCTGTAGTGTAGCACTATACAGCAGCACTCCCAGGGAGGAAGGATTCGCCCAGCCGCGACGGTCCGCACACAAAAACCAGCGAAGCCCGTAGCGGTGAGCGGGTCCACCTGGGCGCTTCCTCTCGCGCTGGTTGATCAGCCTGCCTCCCCTCAGAATTGAGTTCGAGGCAAAGCCATGGCAAACAAGGACCGGGACTCGTTCGACGCCGTCCGTCCTGCCCGTCGCCGCCGCTCTGGCCGCCGCAGCCGCAAGCCGCAGCTGGGCGCGTCAGAATTGTTTCCCAGGCCGGAGGGCCACGCAAACCTTCAAAGCGGAAACTTTTGTGAGATTGACTTGCTCCGGTGGACCGGCGGCATGTCCGCCCAACCGGCCACCGTAAGCAGTCACAGCACCCTGCAGCTTGGCAGGGCGCGTCGGCGTACGTACTCGAAGCGACGGGACCCGTCACATCAGCTCATTAGCATGGTGGGCGTCCCCGAGTGGCACGAGCTCGGAAACAAGCTGGCTATATGTTCACCCTTGCTGCTGCTCATCACCTCCGCGGGATTCCATGGTCCACGCAAAAGCAATGCCAGGGGTTTCGGACGACGGACGAGAAGGGCCTATATTTGCCCATCGCCATCACGAGGGGGGAGTGGGAAAGGGGAGGCTCAACTTCTTGTCCTCATCTGAGGTGGGTTGTGTTATCCACCCATCCTGCTTACCCATCACCAATTCCTGCCGAAACATCGCTACCCGCAGAGGCCCATGATTCGCAGCACCGAGGTAATCGACGAAGTGCGGTACCGACCAACGGAGGCTACGGTCCGTCGTGGCAAGTGAGGGTCGGCTTCGGATCGTCTCCAGAGAGGCCTGCAACAGACCTGCTTCTGCCGTCACCTTGACTCGGTTCTCGCGCGACGGACTGGAGAGAGTCTCCGAGTCAGGGTCCAATCGAGCCAGGAGAACAGATGTACCAGTCTCCTGGGACTGTGATCGATGAATGTGACTGTTCAAAGGACCGTGTCTCACGTGGCGACGGCGCGCCGCCTTTAGCTCTGCAACCGTTCCTCCAAACTCTAATATCCCAGTCGGAACTCAGGCCACCATCTGCTTACTGCAGCGAGCACGGTCAGAGATCGACTTTGAAGGTTATTCATATTCCATGTATTATCATACGTTGTATCTACTCAAACCCCTAGAACCCTACCATTTCACTCGGAAGTCATTCACAAGACAGCTATTGCAACTTCACAAGAGGCATACATCAACATTGAGCAAGTGGTACCGGATGCAGGTAATTCACATATCCTCTAACCGTGTATCTCGAAGAATATTATGTACTCCCTCCCTTGTCCCAAGGATTAAGCGGACATCAAGTCCTTCCCTTCACCGGCTCTCGCCATCCGTGCATCAACCAGGTGCCGGGTTCCCAGGTCTCATGCCAGACTGTGCCCTCGAGGGCGAGGAGAGTCCGATGACACGTTGAATTCGAGCAACTCCCTCAATGGAAAAACATCCACAGGCCAACTCGAAACACAAAACAACTCAAACGAGTCCTGATTTTCGAAACACTGACAGACACATACAAGAACATCGATCCAGCCGGTGTAGTGCAGCCAGAGTTGTGCGAAGAAGTGACACAGAACTGACCAGAACAGCGAAGCCAAAAGAAATTGTGAAATTTCCCAATTGACATGAAATGCACCGCAGTGCATGTTTTGAGAGTCTTGTAATTCGTTCACCGTTCGAAACAGCAAATCATTCGTATCATTCAAAAGTAAGAAAGACATGGGTATGTAAAGTAAAACTCCGCACAAGTACACGCCAGAGAGAGGGCCCCAAGAGACCAAGCAGAAGAAGAAATGTAACGTGTGAGGTGATGAAAGAACATGAAGAGCAAAAGAAAATCAAGAAGCTGTCCATCATCAAAAGTCGTCGCTCCTCTTATCATCATCAGACGCCCCTAAACATCCTGACCACGAGGAACCACATCGCGCCGAGGAACTTGAACCCCGAGAGCGCAGCCACGGAGTAAAGCACCACTGCCATATAGATGGTTGTCCTGGTCGTTTCTGCCTCCTCCGCCGCATCTTGGTCCGTGGTGTTCGACGAGGTCCCAATCTTTTCCAGCCCTGCAGCACTCAAGACGACCGCGACCAGCGCAAAATTGGAGATCATCCACACCAGCACGACTACCGTACGGACACCGCGGTAGTAGTCCTGTTGCTTTTCGTCGAGCTGGGAGGCCGTGAGAGGCTTGTTCTCCTTGACGGGCTTACGACTGAACACCTGCAGTTCACGGTCGTACTGGGCATTCAGATCGCCCTCGTCGGGGAGATCCGTCTTGCCCTGGCCATCCTTAAGTTCGATAGATGGCAGTTTGTCCGGTTTGTCATCACCCTTGGTACCCCATGAGATGTCGTGGGTATTGCAGAAGGCATAAACATTAAGAATGTTGGTGAAGGTCGGGGTCAACAGCATGTACTGGCCCAGAGACGTGATCATGTGCCATGGATCAAACATGAGCAGGGAGGCGATCAGCCAGATTCCGTAGGTCGACATTACCGAGACAATCAAAGTGTAGAAGACCTTGTTCTTGAAAAGATCGGCGACATTGAACCCGTCGGCGTCGTTGATGTCGGTCTGGATGGCTACCACGGAAATATAGATGGCCGCAAACATCAGGTAACTAGGACACGGCTTGGTTAGCACAGGTTGGGAGGCTCGTCCACCTAGGGCTAGACTTACATAAAGATGATTGCCCAGAAAACGACCATTGCCATGTAGTATGGGCCCGAGCCAGCTGGGCGATTACCCATTGACAGGACGAAACAGGTCATGAGCGAGATACCATAGAGCCATTCAAACACGACACCGAGAATACTACCAGCCGTGCCCAGGAGCGTGTCGTCGCCCAGACTCGTTGTCAATATCTTGAAGACCAGGAAGAAGTTACCGATAGCGAACCAAGCGAAGATCATGTTGATGGTGTTGAACGTGAACTCGGCAAAGAAGGCCAGCTTCCGCATCAGGGAGTGGTCCGAGCGGAAGAACTGGTAGAAGTGTGCAATAGCGTAGATGGCAGCGAAGAAAGACCCGTTCAGCCACCTACGACGTTGTAGGATGAGTTCGGTGACAGTGTCGGGCACATCAGTCTCGCCTGTAGCCGACTTGACGTACTGGAGGATCCAATGGCAATTCCGCTTGGTGACGAGCTCGAAGCAGAGGATACGATCCTCAGCGAGATACATGTTTGAAGTGAAGATACCCGCGCCAGCACCTTCGAGCTTCTCTCCGGCGAAGTACTTCTCCAGAGGGCCAAGGCCATTCTTGTCATTTTGAAGAGCAACGTATCGATACGCTGAGAAGGCACCCGGCAACACCGATATGAAGCCGAACGCGGACTCGAGTGGCTTGTCGAGGATGTTGCTCATCTTGTACTCGAAATTCTGGGCTGCAACCAGTGGGTTGAAGAGGTTCTTGCCGCCCTGCAGGAAAAGGAGTCAGCCAACAAAGAACTGCGGAAGAAGTTTCATCTAGATAGGGAGGACCAGGCCACAGTATGGCCGTGGCTTGTTTCCAAACCTGCAGCCTAACAATACCTTTGAGGTACAGGCTACAGATAGGAAATTGATTTTCCAGAGAGGGTCAAAATTGTATCCGGAAGCTGCTTACTGAACCCAACATGGCCTTGATCTCGCCACAAGCGCCAGCGCACATAGGCTCGAGGTCGAAGGCCTTCCAAAGGTGGTAAATGGAGTTACCGCCGGGCTTTGTTCCAGCGTCGATCAAAACGGTAATGTTGGGATCTAGGACGCGACCAAAGGCGTTGAAAAACCATCGGTGGGAGTTGATCTTCTTCTGGTTCTTCTCCTTCAGACAAAAGAGCAGCTGGACCGGCTGCTGCTTGGGCACCAACTGGACCACGTCGTTCTTGATCTGCATGCCGACTTGTGAAGTGTACTCGTAGATGTGAGCCGTCACGTCTTTCTTGTTGACCTGTTGCTTGGCGATACCCTCCTGGTATACACCCATACCAGCGAGAAGGGCCCTCGTCCTGGGGTTGATCTTGGCACGACCATCGCTGACCACGCACACCACGATCTTCTTCCAAGCGTCTTTACCCCAGGTCTTGCTCTCGGTCCGCTTGCACATGTACTCGACGTTCTTGAGCACACCGATCATGGTCCTGGCGAACAGGATCTCGTCCTCATTGTACATTGTGATGACGATAAACAGCTCCGTGTGTCTGGTCTTGCTGAAGAGCTTCTGTCGCAGGGTGAAGTTCTCTTCGTAAAAGTTGTTTGGGTCACAGGTTGCTGCTGTATACCGCATGTGGGTGAATTCGTCACGGTCGCCGTGTGGAACCTGGTTGAGTAGCCTCGGTGGGACAGGGCAGTCCAGCACCAAGTTGCCCCGATACAACAGCACTTCCTTCACCGTCTTCCAGCGCTTCAGCCCACCACCTGCCTGCTGCTGTTGTGGTTGGTCCCTGTAGCCCTCGCTCATACTAGAGTCTTGGTGTTGCAACATCGGCCGTCTGTCATCGTACTCGAAACCTGGCTCGAAGCCCGGTTGCGCTCCCTGGGGCTGCGGCTCGTAAGGCTGGTTGTAGTAGCCGTCGTGGTGTGCCTCGGGGTTAACAGCATAGTCTTGGTAGCCAACGTGCTGCTGCTGGTCGTAGTGGCCGCCGACGTTCTCCATCGATTGCTACCTCACAGGTTAGTGGGACATAACCCGTCTAGACTTCACAGAGGAACTCACAGCTGTTTGCATGTGTAGCGAGTCTGCAGGGCTGTACGTCCTGCCGACGCCGCCGGGCGGCCCCAGGGGCATTTGAAGATGTGATGCGGACGGGTTCTGGCCGTAGGGATTGTCGTCGAGCTGGTAGCCATGCTGGAGCGGGTGGCCCGGCGAAGGCGTCCTATGGGCGTGAGGATCCATCATGTGACGGTCGTAGTAGTCGTCGTCTGTATGTTTTGGCGATTAGATACTTGACTATGAAATATATCTGCGAGGCGGGACGGTTCAAAATCGCCGTCGGAGTATCTGAAGAGCCCCTCCAAACCGCAGCTGGGTCAAGGGAGCTGCGCCACGATTTGGACTTTGTTGTGGACAAAGGTGCAAGGTGCCGGCCGTAGGCTCTGAGTGACTGGTGGTCGGGCGGGGCGTGTAGACAAGAGGACGTCACACGACGGGTAGAAGTACAATATAGTGGAGGGTAGGACGGGTGAAGAGAAGAGTGGATTGTCAGGGAGGAGGGTGGGATATTGTTTTTAGTGCCCGAGTCGAGGAATGTCCTGATCCGCCTATGACGCGAAGCGAGAGGAGGGGAGGTGGGCAGGAGAGCAGGAGGGGAGGAGGGGAGCCAGTAGGAGACTTGCCTAATCGATTATACGACATGGTTGTTGTGTTCTGGCAATGCGCAGTCGAGGGTGGTTTTTGGAGTTGCTCCGTCACCTGTCAAGGGTCGCAACCTGGACGTATATTGGGCCACAACCAAGTTCGAAGCCCACAGTTGTCGTGAAGTGATGACTTGTGTCAGAGGTTGTATTCGGTCACTGGCCCCAACAGGACCCCTTCGGAATGTGCCAAGGGTGTGTGGTGGAGCGTGCTGTGTACTGTGGCAGAGACTGAAGTCGACGGGCACTGACGGCGGTTTCGAAAAGGGTGCTGCGGTCGGCTGCGGTGGTTTGAGCCCCTATTCCGTGCGGTACCTGTCTGCACTTGCGCTTATGCGAGTGGCCCGCGATGCTTGCTCTGCTTGAACTCTGCGGTCTGGCAGATAGGGAGACAGTAGTGGATGCTGAGCTGGTTCGGACGACTGGCTGGCTGGGTCACAATGACAACCGTCGCATAGGCTGAACTCTGTGCGGGCAATCTGGCAAGTGAAAGAGACAGAGTTCTGGGCAAATCTCGCAACCGCGATGTCGAGTTGGTTGGCTACCACGCCCGAAAGCTACAATGGCTAGGCCGAGGCTTGGAAGTCGGGAGTGCGCTGTCTGGCTTCGTGGCCGTCTCTCTGGATTGATGAAGGGGGCGCTCGAGATCAGCGCGGGCACGACACTGGCTGGGGAGAAGGAGTCGTTTCAGGCTCACAGGGGAGGCGCAGTAAGCTACCCGTGACGTCGCTTTGGAGGGAGCTGGCCGGGGGTCACCATGGCCCGCTGGGGCGCTTCATTGGCCTGTGCAGAGGCCTTGTGGGGGTGGTGCAGGGGTGGGGGCATGGGTCTGCGAGTCTTGGGAGGTTGTGATCGATGAGTGGTAATAAATTTCCTACCAGCCTACCAGCTTAGTCCTTCATTGCGACCGTTGCAAAGGCTCCCGCGAGAGACTTGGGAGTCGCAGGTCACAATCTCCAAAATGCCCATGCCCGTGCCCGTGATTCTGCGTGCTGATAGCTGATAGCTGCCGACCTGCGACCTCATTACCCTTACCGACAGCATCCCAGCCGGTCTTGGGTCATTGAGTCGCTGCAACCCTGTTTCGTCACCCTCATGCGAGCGGCCTCCTATTTTATTTCTACCACATGTAGTATCTGTCACTGACGTGGTGCCGACCAATCCGAAGACGTCGTACAGCACGGCACGCAGTATGCAGCGGGAGGCGTCTAGCAGGCCGGTCCCTCCAGTAAGAACAAGGCGGAGAGCGCTGGTCCACGATGGAGTCACAGGCAAGAAGAAAAAACCCAATTGTTGACGGGCGGTTGCGTGAGCAACCAAGGATTACTGGGTGGGGCAGTGAGAAAAGCCACGGTTGGGAGTGACCTACTGCGTCTCACACCAGCATCGGAATCAAGCCGATTCCCAGATTTCGGCTGTGCTCAGTGCTCACTATCGCCAGCTCCACATGCCCACAAGCCCACTTGCCCACATGATCGGGCGGCTTGCACCTCAGCCAGCAGTGGCGCTCCCCACAGTGGGTTCGCTCGGGCACGGCATCAGCTTGTCGGGGATGCTGCTGCAGTGCTGTTGGGCCTGTTGCGTGTGGCGCGGTCGTCGTTGCGTCGTCGCCCTTCTACTTGTAGGAGGGAGCACAGACTGCGCACCGTAATCAACCATCTGCAGTCCTCGTACACAGACATGCATACATGCAGACACGCCAGACACGACAGACCGGACCAGCGCGGGAGGGCATCACCCCTGGGCATCTTCTCCAAAGTCGGCTGAACTGAAAGCAGATCCCGCCCCGGCTCTTCAAGCGTGGCAGAGGCAAAGACGTCAGCTTCCAAAATAGTAACACCAACCCGCCCAACGCCATCAATGCCGTGCAGCAGAAAGCTGCAAGAAGTTCGCCGCCACCTTCGGCACCTCCAGGATTCCGGCCCAGGGTTCCGGGATCCAGACAGCCCACAGCACAGGCCAGTCCACCCAACAAGGTTGCCGCGTCGTCGTCACAGATGCACTCCACAATATGCACCCTGCCTCAGTTGCTTCCCACATTTGCCAGCTTCAAGACAACTACTTGTTAGACAATATATCTACTACGCCACAAGCAATCGGCAAACTTTGCCGCGGTACTCCGTCTCGCTAGGTTCCCTCTTCGAAAGATCCATGGCTTTCATCGGTTTCTTGGGATCAGTTTTCCGTTTCATCAGACCGATAAAGGTGGCTATAGGGCAATGCTGACGTGCTCGTTTGGCTCGGCCACAAAAGCTCCGACCCTGCGTGGTCTCTCCGGGTGTGTAGGAACAGCTTGGATCGTCGCAGGGCCTCAGAATCCCTTGGTTTGAGCATCGAACAAATGTGGCTCTAGTCTCAGGTTGTATGCCCCCAGCTCTTGTAGGAGCTGCATATCCGAGTCTCGGCAAAGCTCTGATTTCCAGGCAATGTGTACAACTTCTCCCTCATTGTGCGACTATACACCGCTTGGTATAGCTCCATCGCACCTTCCTCCACAGATTTGACGCGTTACTAGCCGGCGTCAACCACGGCGGCCCCTTGGGCCTCGGGGCCAGTTGTGAAGAGACCGGGCTTGACGCCGTGGCCTCGGCCACTATGCTCCAAACATGTTTAGATCCAAGGCCTTTCAAGACGGCTGGTGGCCAAATCCTTGGTCAAGGCCTGCAGGAACAACAGTCTTGACTCGGCGCCGCCCATTGGTAAGCTCGAGCTTGTTAGAAATTCACCCAGGAATCCTTAATGGTTGCCAGACGTACTCTGCAACCTCACTTCTTGTCATATTGCCTGATCTGCTAATTTGGTCTTCGCTCGTAGTCTACAACAGCGCCAGCAGATCTGTGCAAATATAAGTCTAGCGGCCCACATCTGGTCCACCCCCTCATATGGGCCACCCCTGCACACTATATATCCCCTTCTAACTCAACGGGTTAAATAGCTAATTTTAGGCAGATTTGAATATACATAGAAACTAACAATGGTAATATATAAACAATATTTTAAAAATTATATATATAATACTTTTATATATAATTAAATAAATATATTTTTATTATTTTATATATTTATTTAATATATATGCTTTTAAAATTAATATAAATTTAAATATAGATTTATAATATATAATATTTAAATATAATAATATTTAAAAAATTATAAAAGGATTACTTAAAGAATTATTAATATTTAAACTTTAAAATTTTAAAATATTAAGATTTATAAGGAATTTTTTAACATTTTATAACATTTATATTTATATATATAATTCTTTTAATTCTTTTATTATTAATATTATATAAATTAATTTAATTTTTAAATATTTTAATTAATATAAAAATAAATGTATTTTAATTATATATAATTAAATAAGGTTTATATTTTAATATTTAGAGAAGTGGAGTAAAAGTGGAGAATTTCTTCTTAGAAAAAAACTTAAATCTTTTATATACTATAAAGGAAATTATATATAAAAAGAAATATATATATAGAATTTAATTTAATTTTCTTTTTATATAAAAATAAATATATTATATTTATAATAATTATATTTATAAAGATATTTCTACTTTTTATAAAATAAAATCTGTTAAGAAACACTAATATTATATATATATTCCTTAATAATATTTTTAAAATCTTAATTCTAATATTTAAAAGTTTATAAGTATTTTAATAGATTTTTTAAATAAGTAAGATTTAAAATTTAGCTTTATATATTTATCATAAAGCTGTATTAAAAATATCACGTTTATATATTAAGAAATAATAAAGAAATCTTTATTTATATAAAAAGAGTAATAGATAAATAATTATATATATCTTAGTATATATAATATATATAGAATTCTTTAAATATTATTTCTACATAGAGAAGTGAATATAATATATATATTTAAATCTATATAAATTTAAATATTTTATTCATTGAATAAATAGTGGTTTTGTTTGGTGAATTTTGTGTGCAGGGGTGGCCCATATGAGGGGGTGGACCAGATGTGGGCCGCTAGACTTACCACCATTTGCAAGGCTAAATCTGGCCGCTCATTGTCGCATGTAAAGTTTGCTGTACAAAAAAGTGCGCACGTAACTGTACAAATTGGACTTTGTCAATTCAATCTCGTAGATTTATTGAGTGGTAGACGGGAAGCTCCCTCAACTTCGTGACAGCACTGTGTACATGTCTCGCTGCCTTCAAGTGGTGGTTGTTCGCTGGAGAAGTCTTCAGTTGCTATATTCCTGGAATTTGCTCGGCTCAGATCAGGCTCAAGTATGCTAAATTTGAAGCATTCTACTTCAATCCGAGAGTGAGTTTTCCCTCTACATGGTTCGAAGGGCTGCCAGGGTAACAAATTGGTATGTTGTTAGATGACTCTGCAATGCGCTCTTCGAGACATCATTCTTCCTCATACACAATATAACGAGCGATTAGGGGCTTCTATGCAGCTCATGGTGTCACCACGTCCATCAAATGCCCAATTGCTGCTGTCCCGATACTGTGCCTCTTGCATTAGTAGGTGGTCGACGTCGGGCTCACCTTGATGCGACCTGGGGTACTTCAGTACATGCCCGTATCTGGGAACTATGGGTCCCCTGTCCGTACCTGCAGCTTCCCCAGGCCCGCTCCCACCTCGCCGATTCGGCACCGACACTTTTTTCGGCTCAGAACAGACTATCTGCAAACGAGCAGCAGAGACACTGTGATCCGATAGACTCGTCAAGGCTTCAGTAAACACTTTAGTTTACTCACGGATGCCTGCAGAATTAAGTCTACGACCATTGGGTCAAAATGTCTTGGCCAGAATCGCCAGTTCGTCTGACCCTGCTTGGTCTGAGTACGGTTTGCTTGGAGTCCGCTCCGTTTGTCTTTTTTTCAGTTCGTAGTTTTCGAAAGGTACACCTTGGATCTTTCACTTGGCCCCAGCTTCGTAGATCTAAAGCAAATCGACAAAAACACTGCCTCTCATCACTGATTGTATCCCCTCGACGTCCAGTGGCAGATCCTGGACCACACCTTGTTGTCAACCTTTCCACCCTGTCAAGATGCCTCCTCCACCGTCATTCGATTACTATGCTGAACTCGAGATTGAGCGCTCAGCCTCTTTAACGGAGATCAATTCAGCATACCGGCGACTTGCCAGGATCCACCATCCAGACAAGAATCCCAACAACCAGGAGGAAGCCACAACCAACTTCCAGCGACTCCAGCTGGCCCACGAAACTCTTTCCGACCCTGTCAAACGCGAGCGATACGACACCGCACCACCAGGCTCAATCTTCAGCCAAGAGGACGAGGAGCTCTGGGAGGACGACGAGGAAGATCCCTTCGGATTTCCTCCCTTCCCGTTTCCCTTCCCTTTTGAATTCTTTTTCACATCTCGATTCTTTCGTGGACCGCCCCGTCGTGGCACCTCGCAAGCCCAGGCAGCCTACGACGATCTGAGAGCGGAAAATGAGCGCCGAAGACAGGAGAGCAAGCGACGGGAGAAGGAGGCCAGAGATCTGCGCGAGGAAGAGCAACGCCTGCGCCAAGAGGCCAAGAAAGCTCGCGAGAAAGCAGCGGAACGATCCAAGGCTCTGGAGAGGCGCCACCTTCAAGACGAGGAGATGAAGAAGCAGGAGATGCGATGGAAAGAGATGGGCGCTGTCTCCAAGGAAGAGAGGCTCCATACCTGCCTACACTCAGAGCTGTGTGACAAAATTCAGCACACCAAGAAGTTCAAGTGCACGGCATGCTCAGTGAAGCGCGGCATGATCGCGTTTGAGTGCCCTCACTGCTCGGCTTTCCTTTGCCAGTTGTGTGTCACCGACTTCTCTGAGAGACGGAAGAAACTGGATATGCAAGAGCAGATGGAAGAGCCTTGGATGCCGAAGGACTCTGCTGGCACGAGCAGCAAGCCCACCATCAACAAGCCCAATGCCAACAAGTCTACAACTGGAGAGTCCGCTGCCAAGAAGCCTCAGAAGAAGAAGAAGTCCAAGACCAGCGGTGCCGCCAAACAGACTCCCATCTCGGGCAAGACCGGCAATGGCAACAAGGACAGTTTGGAACGCGATCCAGTCTTGAGTGAGGTAGATGACGATAAGGCAACACCCACTTCCCGGGGATTGTTCGCTTCTGACAACCCATACAACATCCTTGTGGATGATGAGAAGACCACGTCTCTCACGTCCGAGAAGTCTATACCACATGCTAGTACTCCTGCTCAGACGGCCGCTCGTCTCTCAACCGCACGCCCTGACGGTGCCAAGGGTGACGACGACAAGCCAGCTTCTACAAAGTTTGCTCAGTCGAAGAAGAAGAGGCAGAACAAGAAATCTGGCAACAAGGACAGCTCAAAGGAGAATGTCAATCTGCACGGTCAGGATCAGAAGACCGACACTAACATTGCTGTCGAGGCCAAGGCGACCGGTGCGATTCACAACACTCACCGGCAGACTTTGGCCCCAGGCCCTAGCGAATCCTCCTCTCAGAGTGTGGCTGCCCAGCCTGTCTCCAACAAAACCGTCAACGACGACGTGAAAGCCAGCGTGAGCATCAAGCCGCAGAAGCCGAAACATCACAGTGCTCCATCCCGTGAAGAGAAGCCGACGGGCCCAGGTTGCGGCCCCTCGGCAGGCGCAACCGGCGGTTACATTCGAGCCTTAGACGCAGCGCACAGCCCGACCGTGGCCGATCTCCGTCAGGCAATGGAGAAGTTTGGGGCCGTGAAGTGTCTGAAGATTGTCAACAAGCGCCGCGGCATCTCCCACGTGGATTTCGCCGCACACGAAGGCCTGCGCCGGGCCATCGCGGCCTCCCCTGTGGTCGTGAGCGAGCAGATCACCGTTCGCGTGGTGGAGTTGAAGCACTGCGACACCTGTGGCAAGGCTGGCCACGTTGCCCGGACCTGCAGAGCCGCGAAGAGCCCCAATTGAGGCGGACTCGGTTGACTGGAGGCTGGGGTCCGGGAGCGTGCGTCTGTAAGGCATGCGGAGCGTTCTGTCAACCCACCGTGTCAAACCCGGGAAAGCGATGTTGTCGCACAGAAGGCTGCGGGGGTCATCTGATGCCCGGTCATTAACCCACGAAGACATGGCGATGGACTTGGGTAACGATGATGACGAGGGGGTGCGAGGGTCCTGAGACGATGAACTCGTGAAGATCAGGCGAAATGTATTCGGCACCCGCGGAGCGGCTGCCAATGAATGGGGATGGTCATCCAGATCGTTGACGAGATTGGATTTGTTGATCAGAGACCCACATAGATGATCACTCGCTATGGGAGTGAGGTTTTCCAGTAGCAGCTGGCTGATTTGCTCTCACTGGTTACTGCGGATAATACCCAAAGCAGCGGACTCTCTATTTTGTAAACGTAGCTCTCTATGATATTTTCTGGAGCAGAGTTCTCCTCCAGCAAAACTCTCGAGCAGGTCTTCGTCCCTAGTGACACGACTATCTACATGATAGAAGTCTACACCCAGCCGTAGTGTGTACTGGAACGTGTTGGTTGATATATGTTCCGATCTGTGAATCTAAGTCTCGGCTATCCCCGTTCCAGTCTCCCGAGTCGAGACGTGATCAGGTTTTGACCCAGATAGAAACACACAATAGTGCCTCTTACCTACGTCTTCCGCGCCTGCTCATATTGAAAGTCATGTTACACATTTTCGAGGCTGTCGAAGCTCATATACACTCCTTTTCATACTCAAATACCCATTTTTCACAATTATTACTCATAGACATAGCAGAATGGCCCCGCCGTCGTGCTCAACAACTCATTGATCTGCCTCGGTGGGCCCGCAGCATAGCCATACTGCACATAGTCATCAATAGTGATGTCTGGGCTGACCGGGTCGTTGAGGAACGTCCCGGTGCCGGCAATGCTGTTGTCCCCCCAAACGCGTGTCTCCGGATCCTGCATCTGCCACAGCCACCACACGCGGTCCATCATCGTGTGGTGCAAGTAAAATGCAGGGTCTCCGGGCGAGACGTATAAATCGCGGCCTGGATCTCCACCCAAAGAAAAGTGACCTATTAAAACGTGTCAGTCAGCAGGAAAATTCTCAAACCCGTCGTCACAGGTACATACCTCCACCGTGCACACCCAACGTGGTCCCGCCGGCCACGAGCGCGTCCGGCCAGCCCTGGAAGAGAAGCTGGAAGGTAGCAATGTCGGTGTAGTTCTGGACGACGCTCAGCACGCTGCTCGCGTTGGCGAAGTTCTGGTTGATGTAGTCGGTCAGGTCGCGCTTGAGGCAGCGCGGGTTCCAGGAGAAGATGCCCGTGTCGTTGTGCGGATTCACTTCGGACACGCCGCCGGGCAGGGAGACAGATACCGGGCCCAGGTTCACCGTGTAGTTGGCGAAGGGGCCCGACTTCACGCAGCCGCCGCCGGTGCCCGCCGGGACCCAGAACGGATCGAGGCCGCCTCCCGCGACGTTCACGGAGGATTTGTTGGCGATGAAGTAGCCGTCTCCGGACATGGATGTGTCACTGCCGTCGAATACCGGCGAGGCGTGTAGCCCCGTGATGGCGGTCTTGGGCCAGTTCCAGTACTATGGGTGTCAGTTTCTACCACTTGTTGCGACTGTCGTCAGGGGACGGATAGTTGAAAGCCTACCGGCAGGTTCCCCTGATATCCACACTCATCCCTCAATGCTTCCTCAAACAGATAAATGTAATACCGGTGCCATGATAGGAATGTGCCGGTATAGTGGATGGTGAGAGTCTGGTTCATGTGGGTGGCAACAAAATCGTCGAATCTTGTCTTGATGCCGGATCCAAGTTCCGAGGGAGCAAGGGCAGGTGTAGACTGCAGACACCTGACCGCCCTAATGTAGTCCTTTTTCTCATCTCTGTCGAAAGAATCCCTGCACCAAACTCATCAATCATCAATTAACGAATTCGGACAAATACATGTGCATGTCCGAAAGTACTCACCACTCCCTACGAATCTCGACGTTGGCCTCAGTACAGCTTCCATTTCTCTTTTGAAGAGTATCTACTGCGGTTGATCGAGCTGTGTCGAAAAGATCCTGCAGTTGATTGTAGGTATCATGATTGGCTGTGTCGCTGGACAGGCCAAAAGGCTCTGAACGGGTGAGCACCACTGGGGAAGCCTGCAAGAAAAGAAGGGCGAGACTCCGGGACAGCATCATGAAGTAGATACCGAAGACGAATGATGAGATGGAAGGACTGCCACTATGAGGGAGACAGCAATTATGTGCACACTGATCTTTGGGCACTTATCACAAGAGAAACTCATCAAGCCTGAGGGCACCGGGGCATTTGGGGCTGCCATTGCTTATGGAAAACGGCCTGTTGCTTCTGCAGGAGTAAGATTTGATAATAGTGGCTCGAAAAAAGAGTCTAGACTCACTTTACTATCCAGTCCGAAGCTGATGGTGCTGACGATCTTCCGATTGGACTCTAAAATGCATGGCGCAGAAGTAGTGTACACCGTAAAGAAAATGACCGCTCAAAAGATTTTATATTGTGGCCACCGGACACTAGGCCTCAAAAGACTACAAATACCCGAAGGTCTGGTCCCTCATTTCAGGAAACATGCCGGGAAATCGACTGCCGTCTTACCTAGAGGCCGCTGGAGACTGCCAGCATGTTGGGCACTATGCACGACCGTTGGACAGAGATCAGAAACGACTAATATATTCCATGCAGCCAGTAATCAGATACATGGGCTCTTTATTATGTCACAATACACTCCCTCCAAGATGAATGGCTCATGGGCCTGATCTGGCTGCGGTGCTGGATCTCGCTCACCACCAGACGAACCCCCGAGAGCCACAGATTCTGCATCGACTCGGTCCCGGAGCACTCCCGAGGTCGATGACAGCCCCAGCTCGGAGAACTAAACCCCAGTCTCCTCCAGTGGGCCCATAAGCACTTGAGCTCGCCCTACTGCAGGCTAACATACACCGCATGCGTAGTGAACTAGACACATTGTTCACGCAACAGGGTATGACCCAATACTGGATATTCAATTGGATACCTGTAGAGTTCTTCCGCTAATCAGCCTGCTCGTCTGATATTATGGAGCTATATCAGAAAGTGTCCCCCATTATTTCCATAACCTAGAGGCGGTGCTGTGATTACGGCTCGTAGGGATTCATGAATTTAGTACATAATTTTTCTTATAGTACAATCTTCCTTGATTTGAGCTATTGTGGGAAAGTTCTCTACGGGGAAATCTCTAGTAGCTTTTGGCTAAACGCCATGTTGTGAGGTAACCTACAAGGTAGTTGGTCCCTTGGTAGGTGCCATCTTGTCCCTCTTCCTGATCCCCTGCTACGTTTACGAATTCTTGAAAGTCTGGCCAACATTTGAGGTCCCTGCAAGTTATCATGTCGTACCGATGCGACCTGGCGGCACGGCTCGATCGACCCACAGCACATGCACCACTCCGAAGCGGCAAATCCGGTATAATACACGACCGGCGGCACAAGACGTATCTCAAATTTATTCTAGATTTCACGGGTTTCTAGAGTACCTGAGCCTGTTCACTCGATTATGCTTATGTAAGAGTCCCGCTGGCGCATGTGAGAAGACATTTCTGATCTCGCCGGTAGACCCAATTTCCGTAACTGGAGAAGCCCAATCCTGAAGCTTTAGGAGACCTAAGCTGGACATAAGTACCCCGGTGTGGAATTTCTTCCCGTGCGGGAGTCGAATCCTATAATGGTGAGACCGCTCGATGACAAGAATCGGACTGAATGTGAATGTCTTCTGAAACTCTCGGTGACCAGGTGTTGAACACCATATATCCACTCCTGTGCTTCCGCCTGCTCTTTCGAGTAACGTAACGTGGGATGCAGTTGGTTTGAATCCTCATCTCTGAGCACCCCGTCTTCTCGGAGTCCCGGTGCCGACAGTCTTGGTCGCGTATCAATCATCAACGAGATGAGGCCAACTGACACGGAGACCGAGCCGACGTACAAGGATGAGGCTCTCGTTGGGACATGGGCCAACGGCCAAGGCTATATTTCCTTGCGAATGGGCCCATTGAAGGATGAGGAAGGGCAATCGAGGGAAGTCTAGCCCGATGCCGGTTTCCTTGCCGCCACAGTGCTTGAGCGCCCTTCTCTTTTGATGTCAAACTTTGAGGCCTCGTTTGTCTTGGGTATTCATTACGGGCGGTCGGGCCAGTCTGTATACGTAGGTGCCCAGCTCCTTGTTCTGATGATTACTGTGCCTCATCTGCGAGCCGGTTAAATAAGCGTGGAATGCAGGCTTTCCAAATAGTGCAACGGTGACCCGGACTCTGAAAGGATTCTCGATCAGACGTTCACCTCATCCTTTGCTTGAAGTTGCCATGCCATACCACGCATCTTAGCCGACAGTGGCGGCAGGAGATGCATCCTCCTACTTTGAAGTCGAATCCGAGTGACGATGAAAGGATCGTGATAATCGTGGCCACCTTGGTTGCACACTAACCGCCCTGGTCGTCCTATCGCTGCGTGTGTTTGTTCGGGCCAAAATCATCCGGAACTTCGGTTGGGATGTAGGCTGGCGTTCGCCGTTCCCCATCTGATGTCGTGCAAAGATAATCTGACACAGTCGTCCTGTAGGACGCAGCAATATGCCTGGCTATGCTCCTCTCTCTAGCAGGCGAGGGCATAATCATTGCTGAGGCTCATTATGGAGCGAGACGCCACTTTGGCGACATCCCTCCCGCGATGTACTCGGAAGGCATGAAGATGAACGTGATTTCGGGGCCGATATATGTCGTCGCGGTAGCAACTGTGAAAGTATCCGTCGGGCTTGCGTTGCTGAGAATTGCGGGACACACTGCGTATCCATACCTCGTCATGACTGTCATGGCTATCATGGGAAGCTGGGCCTTCCTCAGTAATTTTGTGAGTCGAGAGCCACCACGTGAATCAACCTTAAGATGAAAATCCTATACGCCATGACACAGCCGATACTAGGGTTACCTCCGACTGGCAGCTTCATGATGCAGACTATAATGTTCCAGTGCAGTAATCCAGCCATGCGATGGGACAGCAGCGTCAAGGGCACCTGCTGGCCTCAGCATGTCGTTCAGGGCCAGGGACATACTGACGCGACTCTGAACATTGCCACCGACGTCTTCTTCGCAGTGGTCATCCCAGCCCCCCTGTTCTGGAACCTCAACGTCAACCGCCGGACGCGTGTATGGCTCATCGCCGTGCTTGGTCTGGGAGTCTTCGCATGCGCCGCCTCGATCATCAAGAGGGTCTATTTGTACAACCTCGGGAACTATAGCGACTGGTTGTGGGATTCACGCAATATATCGATCTGGCATGTCGTCGAACTCAACACGGGGGTCGTTGCGGGAAGCCTCCCTGCCATGCGACCTCTTTTCAGAGGGGTACTTGGGGGCAGCACCTGGGATCGTCAGCATCATAACGTCTATTTGAGGAGTAGTCAGCTGGGCACCACCGCTTCCTCAGGCAAAAGGAACACGTGATTCAGGGCAGTGACAAAAGGACGGGGATCGGCTGCCACGGATGAGACGAACAGCGAGCGTGCGTTCAACGCAGGTGGGAAAGGTCAAGGCGGCAACGAACCGGAGCCCTACGAGCTGGGATATCTCGGAACTCGACGCAGCACCATGAGTACCAGCTTTGTGACGAGTGGTGGCAACACGAGCGGGGGGGCCGCAAGCGTCCACGGCCAGGGACATATCAAAGGGCAATAGGGAATCAGGAAGGCGTCGACAATGACAGTAGATTTTGAGGATGTAGGACTGGCCAAACGAGCAAATATTCATCTATGCGGATGTTGTTTGCGGTGTGGCCCACCCTTGAGAGTCAATGTATCGGTTGCATCGCCAGGTGTCTTCTGTGCTCTGCGGACGATTCCGAGGTAATGTTTCCAACGTAGAAAGTAGTGACAGAGGAAAGTGTGAATCGGACAGGGGCCACATGAGTGAGAAGGTCGGACGTGCGGCTCCCGGTAGAGTGGACAACACCTAGGGATCTCAGATCCTCGAGATTGTTCCACAAGAGGTTATCCCACAACAGCTTATCCCACCACAAATCATCCCAAAGGAATTGATCCACAGGGCACAGCGCAATTGGAAGTTATCCCACAGGAGGTCATCCCACAGAAAGTGGCCTAGACGATGATGGTATACTACAAGGAGATGTATACATGGTCCCGAATTCTTGGGTCCCTCTAAGCTGTTTCAGACCCTGTGTTCAACCGGACTGTCTGTTCTTCGGATGAAATTAGGTGACTCACTAACAAACTTCCATTGAAATCAGCAGGTGGTCTGCTAGTCTGGTGACATCTGTTGATGCCAAGCTGTCATGGCTGCAGAGCCGTTGGCTCTCGGCATACTCCGGTGCTGCGGTACCTGTATACATGGCCGCGGGAAGACTAGGAGCGACCAGTCGCCAGATACTCGGCAAATGCAGGAAAACTTGTTAGGACTTCTGAGGTCGAGGCTCCGCTCCCAACCCCTATCCCGGCCAACAAGCAGGCACGTTTTGAAAAGCAAACCCCGGAGGTACGGTAGGGCGCATTGCTGCCAAAAGCATGGTCAGCGTGTCCCGGGAGGGCGGTACTGGAGGCAGAGGCTGTGCGTTAGGCTGCTTTGGGCCATGCGAACCTCTGGGGAAGGCCCCATCGACTCTCCATTGGCCCTGCCCGTTGTCGGCGGGGCCCGATCAGCCCATGATGAGCGTCTTGTCACTCGATTCCCGCCCGCGGTCTGGCCATTTCATCCTTCTATTTTCGACGCTCCGCCGAGCAGTCATTGCGACCAGCAGCGACCGGCGCTGGCCCTGCCCCTTTCGGCGCGCCTTAGGCCGTCATCTGCCTGCGCATCTGCTCACTTAGTAGTCGGAATGGCATGATGGCCTCGCGCCGACTCTGGCCTGGTCCTCACCTGCCCAGCGCAAACCATGCTAAATCGGTCTTTGCGGGGATTGCCCACGAGAAATCCTCGCCGGCCATCTGGCCATACGAGAACGGCTTCCTGGGGAAATTTCGACAGATCGGAAAGGTAAGGCTCGTCCGGCTGGGTGCAGCTTGGGAAGTCATGGGTTTATAAGACCGGGACGGCAAACTGCTGTCAAATGTTTCTGTGCTCCCTCATCATCATCAAACACCAGCCTAAAAAGAAACATCTCCAATCAACCTCATTCTTCCTAGTCTTCCTAGTGTATCAACACCTGAGACCAATCTCCACACAAACCTAGTCTGGGAACACAAAGTCTCCTCTCCACACAAATCATACCGTACCTGCAGCACCAGAGCTCGCAACACTCGCACGACTCTCTCCACTCGTCGAATCAGACACACGCCAGTGACACCACTGTGGTTCAAGTCGCACACAGACTCAACTCACAAGTCATACAAGGACACTCCCTGTCTTAATTAACAACCACAACTACCAACAAGCAATATGTCGCCCATCGTCGCCCGCGCCGCCATCCGTGCCTCCACCCAGGCACAGGCTACCAGGCAGTTCTCCGTGATGCGCACAATGCGCAACGTGGCACGGTCGTTTGAGCCTCACCCATTCCAGCGCCTGCCCATCTCCAGCCAGACACAAAGCGCCAGCTGGGGCAAGCAGGTCAAGCGGGTCGGATCCCAGGCCGTCGTGTAAGTACTTGAACCTCGACAAGCCCTATTCCAAATTGCAACTTTCGTGCTAACTTTTCCTCTGAAGTTTCGCAAGTGGCTTCACAGTCATTCTGGGCTGGCCATACTTTGCCGCCAAGGCTCTGGACGGCCGCATCGGCGCTCTCTAGATGGTCTTTCCCAACATCTCGGGGTCAAGAGGGGGGATATGGAATGGGATAATAGAAGTGACTGGGACCAAAGCATTACATCTGCACAGCGCTCTGCCCATCGCGGATATTGCATAGTTCTCGGCGTTCTGGAATAGGTGGATACTTTGTGATTGGGTTTAGAATACCACGATAGTTCTCAAGTACTCTCAAAAGAGTATAATTTACTTTGTTCAAGATGATTGTCTTCACTTGCCGGCAATGTCATTTGATTTTCGGTGATTTCATTTTGCCACGATAATTATGAACTCGCAAGCAGTGGATCAGTCGACGCCGTTTTTATTTTTATTGTAGTCGACTACCCCAAACTCAAGATGCAGTGGATGTCGTATTTGAACTGATGCATTGTGAAGAAACGAGAGCCCCTTCGAGGTACTCTCTCAAGACTCCGCATCGATTGCACTCCTCCGTTAACTTGCGGTGCTGCTGTAAGATTAACATCACGAAGTTAGAAAGGTAGGTTAAACTAGTAATTGTGCAGCCTGGCCACGAGACGCGAGATTTAGCTAGCTGAGACAGGCCAAAATATTCGTCTCTGACCATGCAGTCAGCTTCAAGGCATTTCAGCACTGAATGTGGTAGTCAAAATTTAACAAGAAAATTGTCTGACGACTTCCGCTCCCATGCTGCTTTTTCGCTCTTTACCATTTCTTTGTTCCGCTGTGAGAGGAATAGGCTGCAGCTTGACAGCTGAAACTTGGGGCAGCATGTGGCCCACGCGTCTCGCGGAAGCCAATCCAGTCACGCTAGCTCAGGGACCCCTGTTGATCTGTTTGGCGAGTTGTTTGAATCGCGTCGTGCGGCTCGTGCCAGTTGACGTTCTGCCGTCCAAACGCAGGCGCAACACCATTACTGCCACCACAGCCAACACCACCACGACGGCTCGTTCCCCGAGCGCTATTCGACTCGACGAACCGTTTCGCATATTTCTGGCCGCGTCATGACGAAAGACCCGAGGTGATTCGCACAAGAGAGAGCCGCAAACGACGCGACAGAGCCGGCACTCCCTGGCAAAAGCGGTGACCAGCCTGCGCCCCCCACGTATGCCTACACCGGGGCGAGGTGCATCTACGATTTCTAGCTATTTGCCCCATATCGTGAATCTGGGAGGGGAAGACGGCTGAAGCGGAGACAAGATGGCCGAGTCCCTGCACAACGCGCCCATAGTGCTGGACAACGGGTCCGGCACGATACGAGCTGGCTTCGCTGGCGACGACCTGCCGAAATGCTACTTCCCTTCCTTCGTGGGACGGCCCAAGCACCTTAGGGTACTGGCCGGCGCGCTGGAGGGCGAGGTCTTCATCGGGCAGAAAGCTGCGACGGAGCTCAGGGGATTGCTGAAGATCCGGTACCCTTTGGAGCATGGCATTGTCACGGACTGGGACGACATGGAGAAGATCTGGGGATACGTATACGACGAGGGGCTGAAGACGCTGAGTGAAGAGGTGAGATTGCCCGTCCTTTCGACGCCGGGAGGAGCTCTGTGCACCTGGAATCCAAGCTGATCGTGAGGACTTGGCCCTAGCACCCCGTCCTCCTGACAGAACCGCCGCTCAACCCACGGAGCAACCGCGACACGGCGGCGCAGATCCTCTTCGAGACGTTCAACGTGCCGGCGCTCTACACATCCATACAAGCCGTGCTGTCGCTGTACGCATCGGGACGGACGACGGGCATCGTGCTCGACGCGGGCGATGGCGTGTCGCACGCGGTGCCCGTGTACGAGGGCTTCGCCATCACCAATAGCATCCAGCGCATCGACGTCGCCGGTCGCGACATCACAGAGTACCTGCAGACGCTGCTGCGGAAGAGCGGCTACGTGTTCCACACCAGCGCCGAGAAGGAGGTCGTCAGGCACATCAAGGAGGCGGTCACGTACGTGGCGCACGACCCTAGGAAGGAGGAGAAGGACTGGGCGCAGATAAAGCTGGACCAGAACAAGGTCGTCGAGTACACGCTACCGGATGGCAACAAGATGAAGGTGCGTCCGCGGAACGGAGGTCTCTCATCTACATACCGACCCATTGCTTCACCATGCGGGAACAAGCTGACGTTGAGGAACGCGTGTTATAGATCGGCGCTGAGCGTTTCAGGGCGCCCGAGATCCTGTTTGACCCGGAGATCATCGGCCTCGAGTACCCAGGCGTCCACCAGATCGTGGTCGACTCGATCAACAGGACGGACCTGGACCTGCGCAAGGCGCTGTACTCCAACATCGTGCTGTCGGGCGGCAGCACGCTCACCAAGGGCTTCGGCGACCGCCTGCTGACCGAGGTGCAGAGGCTGGCCGTCAAAGACATGCGCATAAAGATCTTTGCGCCGCCCGAGAGGAAGTACTCGACCTGGATCGGCGGCAGTATTTTGGCCGGGCTGAGCACGTTTAGGAAGGTGAGTCGAGATCCCGGCTGGGAAGCCTCATGCTGGGCCGTTGGTGCCTCGAGACCTTGAATTTTGGCTGACTGACACTGCGAATAGATGTGGGTCAGCATTGACGACTGGCATGAGAACCCCGACATAATCCACACCAAGTTCACATGAGCTAGAGCAAGGCTGTGTTGTGTGAAGGGCAGACAGGATACAGGAAGGTATTGCAAAATGAGACATGAGGTAAAACGCAAGAAGCGAGCGAGCGCGTATTTCATGTTGCCTGGGGTTGGAGAGTCCTTGGACCGTGCGAGAGGTAGTTGATGATGGGTAGCGACTCGCAACTAGAGGCATTTACTGCTGCAGTATCCGGAGTTGCAAGCTCACTATAGATGGAGAAATGATACCCATGGATGATGAAAGAGCTATGCCAGTTGGCTGAGAGGCCCTGAGCGCATCTTACTGCCCGAATGTCTGTACCGGCACTCTCCGCCATACCCTAAATGAGAGAGAGGTCCTCAATGATTGGTCAGCTTCAATTGAACTACAGTTCTTAATCTGCAACTCCCGAGCACGCCAACATCAATATTCGGGCATTGGAACTGAGAGTCACATATAGTTTTATCAATCTCACTTTCATTAGACGCTTGATGTGGAACAAAATGACAAGCACAGTACAACGCATTGTATGTTGATGAACGTTCATAAAAATCGCTTTGAGGGGTATATGGTACACCAATGGTTTCTTTTCACCAGAACAAACGCCGCCCGCAATGAATTTCCTTTTCCCACCCTGGAGTCTGCCAGCCAAGGGGGTGATCGAGTTCTTTAAAGATTGTGAAGAAAATCGATCCAGGTCCATCTCTCTTTTGAGCTTCCTGTCTGCACTGAGGCACCCCGGGGTAGTAAACGCACGCGCCATAAGTGACAATTCGCTAATCTCCCGACCGAACTTTTTTGAGGGTGACCGTTCAACGCCGTAATCGCAAAAAGTGGTGTGTATGTGGGTGCCGGTTGGATGGTGCAACAATCACCATCAGCTGGTGAGGCCACCGTCCAGGTCACTCATCAAGACTTGCGAGTGCGGGTGAATTGCCCCACAAGTCGTGACCCATGGACGAACGGCGACCGACAACGAGCCTTCAGAGACACACGTCCAAGCGAGAGGGAGCACCTATTGCTTGTTGGACAGCGAGGCGCTCAGCCGTCCCAGGAATCCGGAGCGCGTGCTGCTGCCGCTCTTGGTGGAGGCGTTGCTGGCGGTGGAGGCGTCGCTGCCCTTGCGGGATTGGTGCTTGCTGGCGGACAACGAGGCGGACTTGAAGTTTCCCGCGCCGCCGCGGCCGGTGAAGGCGGGCCTGGAGGCGGACTCGGTGCGCTCCTTGCGCTCGTACTCGTCCTCGAAGGACATGACGGGCCGCTCGATGCTCGAGTGGGCGTTGCCCGCGCCGCCGCGGCCAGAGTGGAACTTGGTGGTGGCCGAGGTCGAGTTGCTGATGGTGGGGTGGATGGGCGTGGGTACGCCTGAGGGTGCTGTCACTGCCTTTGGTGCCTTGAAGAAGTTGCCCGCGCCTCTGTTTGTCTGTGTTAGTCTAGGGTTTCTTTCCATGATGGGGCTCGCTTAAAGGGAGGGGGTAGAAACGTACCCACGACCGGCGTGACACCAGGTCGATGCTGCCACCGTTGGGTGGGGCTCAGTGATGGAGTAGGAAGGCATGTTGATATGTAGATATGTGTACGTTGGTGTGGTGTGGTTGTGTGTGTGTATGTGTATGCGTATGTGCGTATATGGCTGACTCCAAACTTGCTGACGGTGTTCGTGCTGAGTTCGGGTGCTTTGACAAGAATGTAACGAGAAGGTGTATTCACTTGATTAGACTTCGAGGAGAAGAGGGGCCACAAACAGGTGGTGGTGTGAGGGCGTGGTGAGGAGGGGGGACTTGATATAAGAGAGGTGGGACTCACTCACACGGGAGAGCGAATACAACGAGTAGGCGAGTACTTGAGTACATAGTACCTTGATGGAGGGGCAGAAATTTACAGAGCCATGGGATTCCACTAGAACCCCCGTGGCAAACCAACCGTGTGACCAGAAATGTGTGCCATGGCCATGGCAATAATAGCAGTAGCGGCTTAATTGCTCAGCAAAGCTATGACAGTTTGTGAAGAAAATTTCACCAGAGCAGGATGGTGTGTCACGACCAAGGAATGAGGAAACGTGCCAGGTTTGCTTGGGATGGAGTAGCAGGAGCAGGCTAGGGGGGCCGTGGGCTGCGTGGGCTGCGTGGGCTACCTGCGGCAGAGGGAGGGAAAAGTTCTTGCAGCACCATCTCGCTTGGAACTGAGGCCACTGACTGCCCCCAGGTGAAGAGGCCCGCTGGCAGCAGTCCGGATACAGGCCTGGCCGCGCTGGCGCTTAGCAGTTAACGGCAGTTGCTCGCAGGCCCCTCGCCGTTGCTTCAGGGGGCCCCCAGGGGTGCCCAGGGGCGGCACAGGTGGCTCGTGATGCCGGATGACCATTCAGTTACGAAATGGCGTCTCGTCTCTTGTCACAAGACCTGACTGCCTGGCTTTCGATGGGGTAAGCATTACCCCATAGATTCCCTCCCTGCGACACTTTTTTAGTCATGCCCTGTCTCGCCCCCTTTGTACCTCACCCGCCCTCTTTGGCCTGCGCCGGTACTTGTGTCCCCCTCTCGGCAGAGACGACGCTGGCATGAAAATCATCTCTAATTGCCCTTCGACCTTGTTGTTTCGCTTGTGTTGGTTCCCTGTTGGTCACGGTACATGCCTCGTCAGTAGCACGGCAGGGGTCACTGAGATCCGGGGTTCGCCAAGCTGTAGCGAACCGTTGGTTCGAGTCGACGGCTCTATGCTCCAATGCTCTATGCCTGCGACGGCCACCGACGCCCATGCGCTCCCTCGCGAGATTATGATTCGACCGCGGCCCTCTCGTCCATCCGTCACGATACATTTGCAATTTGTGGACAAGATTGCGTTCGCCAGCTTGCACTAGAGCTCGTGCTCGAGCTGCGAACTGTCGCACTCACAGACTGGCGTGCCCGGTGACTCCTACTTTCTGGAGCTGTCTTCCGTGCTTCTGCTTTCAGAGGTCCAGCTGTGACGCTTCTACCGGCTTCGACCAGGTGTCGAACCCTCGCGATGTTTTTACGCACGCGTGCATGTACGGATGTGCCCATCAGCTTACACAGGAGAAGAGGCAGTTTCTTGCTGAGCTGGTCGAGTCCGTCGAGTTTGTACTTCCCAAGGTCTGCGTGTGGGCCAAACCTCGTGGGATGAGCAAGTGTGCGCCAATTTGTCCGTGCCGTGCCACGCATGGCAGCATGGCAATGTAGCATCCGTTATTACCTCCCTTCACATGCACCCCTGGAGTCGGCGAGGGAGAAGGCATGGAAGCTACCCAACCCCGGATTTTAGGGCTGGCCTGGATTGGTGGTGATGCCAGGGGCAACCGATCGCTGCAGATCTCACATCCAACCAGGCAGCTGCATGCGACACCCACCCAGTCTACGTGTAAGAAGGGCTGGACACTGCTGGAGAGGCCCACCGGCGCGGGTGTTGTCAGCCAAGCTCGTGAGCCCCAAGTACATAGTACACTATGTGTAAAGGAAGAGCTCCTTCGACGGCTTGAATCGTGCGAGCTCCTCCCGTCCCGCCCCCTCAGCCTGTCTGTGCCAGCTTGAAGGTCCACCGATGACGCTGACACGCAGCCCCGTGGTGTCATGACAATCCACCGCCTGAGAGCTCTCGAGGCCCGCGAGCCAAAGCTGCGGTTTTGACAGCACACTAGCACATCGCCCCCGGCACGGTCACGGCGCCAGGCAGAATTTTTTTAGCAACACCTCATCATTCTGGTCATTCGGCGGTGGGGCCTCGGCTGTTCGCGGTCTATGTGGGCCTTCCCAGGGCTGATGATCTCGGACCGGGAATCTGGGGAAGCGCGAAACGGCCGAAGCTCGCCCTGGATTGCGCCTGGAATCCTGGAAATAGCGTGGGAAAAAAAATGTTTTTCTCTGTCTTTATCCTTCCCTCGTCTCTCCATTGTTTGCCTCTAGTCCGGTTTTTCCTCCTCTGTATGACTCTTCACCACAGCAACGTCATCTACTATTCTTTGAAAATCCTTCACTAACACAGCTGTACGCCGTGCTGTTGGCATGGACGCCGAGCAAGAAGACATATTAGCTGACCCGCGGAGATGCTCCCTTCACCCAGTGGTGTTGTAAGAGGTTTCACTCCGCTTGGAGCTCCCGGAGTAACACCAATCCTACGCGGTCCAGGCTGTCACGAAAGGTCGGCCAAGACATCTGATTGCTATTTGCTGGATCATTCAAGCTACGGCTGGTATCCCTGAGACAAGACCGGGCGCTGAAAGACGTGACGGCAACGCCGCATGGCGAAGTCTGCAATGTCACATGTGCACATTTCTGAAGACGGAGGATGTCTTTCATTCGATGAATCCGAACAAAGTCCTATTGCCACAACGCAGGCCATACACAGAGACACTCCCAGCTAGACCCATACGACAACCTGGCCACGTGACTTGAGCCTGCATCAGCATTGCGAAAAGCAAGCGTCGAGCGGTTGGCAGCCTTTTTCTGATCACCCCAGCGCGTCTCCCGGGACACAGAAGTCAGAGCTGATCCCGAGCAGCCTCGTTCCCTCACAACGACCGTCTTGCGCACCAAAGGTAACGGCTTAATCGAAATTGCGGTACTTTCCCTCGGCAAATGTGACATAATGTGGCAGGTCTTCCTTCCCTTCTACCAGACTAAGGTAGACCTTCGCATGCGATTCACCGTCTGGTGTTTTGCCTACTGGTCCCCCGTCTTTGGTCCTCTCGTCGGCAAAGAAGAATCTGGCGTACTCTGTTATCAGCAAGTGCTGGGAGGAACTAGAGTGCTGGGCGCTATGCTGATCTGATAATCTTTGACGGCCGAGTCTGCGACGACCAAGTTGTCGTCGATCGAACGTAACGCCATGAGCGGAGGGGAACTCGCATCTCATCGTCCAGTGTCGATTTCTAGACACCGCGATTTCACGCATCGAAGGGGCAAGGATGATGAAAAGAGGAACAGCAAGGGCACATACCTGATTCCCTTGCTCTTGAGCACACCGTCGGCTGTGCCCACCCAGAAATTCGCACCAGACTTCCCGATCCCGAGCGACGTGTACAAGGCAACAGGGGGGATCGTCTTGGGCAGCAGGTTGCCAGTCATGATGAATGTGCCCTTCCTGCCGTCCTTGCCCTCCCGTTCCTGCCACACCTTGACGGCCTCCCTGGCGGCAACATACGGCGACTTGATCATGATGTTCAGGTCCCGGTCCAGGTCTGAGTCCGCGATGGACAACGGGTTTTCTGGCTCTTGGGGAGGTGTGAGTCCCGCTGCGTTCCAGATCACGACCGAGGGGAACTCCAGGCCCGCCGACCTGATCTTGTCGAACACTCCTGTGACCGCCGCTAGGTCTGAGATGTCAGCCTGGATATGCAGGGGGTTGGACGAGGTGTCGGCCGACGACGGGCTGGAGCGCGAGACCGTAGCCACGCGATATCCGGCGTCGACGAAGCCCTTGACGAGCGCTGTGCCGATGTTGGAGCCGACGCCGAAGATGACGGCTACGTCCGAGTTCGATGGTGCCATTGTTGTCCTTTGTTAGGAGGTACCCAGCTTTTTCTTTCAGAGAATAATCTTTTATTGGCTTCCTAGGTATTGCTTTTGACTTGATGAAAAGAGTCTCAGCCTGGCCTCGAAATAGCTTCTATAGCTTCCACCACGAGACACACTGCTTCCTTTTATCTCCTCTCTCCGTAGACAAACTGCGACCCAAGCCGTCAAGGTGGATGTGTAACAAGACGCAACTTCCCCTCGATTCCACGCAAGCTGCGTGAGCTGGTCATTACTAATGCCTCGCGTCGCGCAGCCCCCTGATTTGGAAGCACGGCTCCTTTCGGACATGTCGGAGGCATCAACAGCCCGCATGCTCCTGCTCCTGCTGCTGTCACCTACTATAGTAGCCACACACAGACGACAGCCAACCCGGGTTTGTTCTCCTGGCCAATACATGCCCACCATTTAGTCTCTGTATGCAGTGCGGAGGAAGGCTACACGAGCTCGCGCCGCCAGCACTCACCAGCCGGACTAAGCTCCGGCCGGAAAGCTTGAATTGGTCCGAAGTTCACTGTGTGGTGCACGCGATACGTATACACACAATCTACCTCTACACATTTGTTTTACACAGTCGATGGATTATGCCAGAATAGGAGCATGCATTAAAACAGTTTCCAAGGGTATCTAACATGATGATCAACATATGCTTAGCCGCGGCCGGTCGTGAGTGAGATGAGACGGGACTATCTGTCCATTCCTTTCCTTGAACGCTTCCCTCGTTCTAAGCTCCAATCGTCATCATCACCATCATCACCATCGCCAACCAATGAGGCCCGCTGGATTCAAGAAATCAACACCTCGCCGCTCTTCCCCTTGATTTTCAGCCTCGTACCGCCATAAGCCAAATGGTGGTCATGTCATCGTGATTGTTCAATTGTTCGCCTCCCTGTCCCCCTTCTTCCGCAACGTCAGTCGTCTATCATCACAACAAACTCCCCTGAAGTGCCTTTTTTTCATGCCTTTTTCAAAGTATGTGTTGAAATGAATTCTATAAACGCACGCTGATACGGCGGGACACCCTCAATGTGGCAAAGTAAACCACAAGGAGAGGATGCCTCGAGTCATTCCCCGGTCCAACGGGGAAGAAAAGTATTATTATTTTTTGTGTCGTCCAGGAAATCGGTAAGAGTCCGTTGCGTTGATGTATCGGGCAGGCCATCCAGCGGCCAGAGCCCGGACTCTCACACGGCGGCATACCTCGCGCCACGAAGGTGCTGCTCCGGGAGAACATGCCCGTCGTTTCTACCGGTCGAGACCATTTTGGACAGCACGCAGCCAGCCATCATAGGGAGAGCCCTTCCTCTAAAAGGTATCTGACTCCTGTGACACGACAGAACCGAATGTATCTATACCAAATGATCGCTGTTAGCTACCTCTGCATATGTCTAGAAACTCGTCGACTATGTAGAAAGTTGCATACCTCTCTTCCTCCTCCTCTCCTCATCTCCAGCCGGAGCGGGGCTCTTCGTGCCCATTGCACGAGGCCCACTGGGTCTCCGGCCAGGCGCACCAAGGACGTTCTGCAGGTTGCGATTCTCTGGCTTGGGGCTACCGGAAGGCTTGTATCCCAGTGTTGAGATCCGACTCCTGGTTGGGGTCGTAGTTCGCGGTCCAGGCTCTTCCAAGGGCTCCTTCGGCGGTCGCGGCGGTCCTGACTGGGCAGGCGAGTTGCCCGTCCATGTGTACTGGCCCTGCTCACCAGTGGCAGACCCATTGCTGTATCTTGGCTGGTGCCCTGCATAACGGCCCAGACTAGTGACCGAGCCAAAGTCTGCAGACTTGGGTGACATGGGAGTGTCGAAATCCTGGGCGGAGCTCTCAAGGGCATTCCGGAACTGTTCGGTCTGGCCTGGGCGCGGTTGTGGGTGCTGCAAGTTCAGTGAGTTGCGGTGAGCCTTGTATTTGGGATCCTCTGGCGTTGAGTAGTTCACAGGAAAAGGTTGTACGGTCTGAGGCTGCACAGGGCTCTGTGAAGTTGGGACCGGAGTACGACTCACACCGGCCATGGTGAATTGCATTTCGGGCTCAATCTGGTTGGGATCGTGCCGTTGGTTTCCATTTAGGTTCGTCTCCGAGTAACCAGAGGGGAGATGGTCGTCGCCGTAGGGATCCGTCACTGGGTAGTTCTCGTATATTGCAAAGTCGGAACCTGAGCGAGAGGGTCCTCCACGCAGTGAACTGGCTTCCGTCTCCTTGGATTTTCTGAAAGCCTTGCCAACACTCGACGCGGTGGTTTCAGACCAACGGGAAATTTTGGGAAACCAGCTCGCAGAACCGCTCGACTTGTGCTTCTTCCGATTCTCGGTGCGAGGAGTGTTCTCGTTGCTCAGTGACGCTTGGGCACCTGGTGGCAACTGCGGAGGAGTCCCCAAAGGGGACGGAGCTGCCGCGTTCGGGCTCTTGATCCGGACTGAGCATGTCTGTGTTGCTGTGGTTATGAACCACGACATTGGAGTCCTCGTTGAAATCGTCCTCGTCTCCCTCCGGCACGGTACTAATCCGGTGACCCGATACCTTTCGCTCGTAGCCATACGAGGCATTTCGGGGGATGGAAAGATGGCCAGACTGACTGCCGTAGCTTGCAGTCGAAGTACCTGCATGACCCTCAGGCTCATAGCCACGATCTTGCTCATACTGAACCGCTGGCTGGATGTTGTCGAGGGATGGGCCGCTGTCATGGCTGATACCGCCGGGAGCAGTCTGCGATTTCAAGACATCAACCTCTCCAAGCAGCTGCATCAGCATGTCTTCGATCCTAGTTAGGTCGTTCGTACCTTTGGCGCCGAGTCCCTTAAGTGCCCTTCGCCAAAGGTTTCGTGTCTTTTTCTCATTATCCGTGCCAGCTTGTGAGCCTTGGACCGACCGCGCCGCGCTGCCTGGGAACGGCCGTGGACCGCCGAGGTGGCGCTGCACGGTCTTGTCGGTGTTGTCCTTGACCTCTGTGATGATGACATCTTCGGTGTCCGCGAGCATCTTCTTAATGTCATCAAACGAATTCCGCATCTCAGCAGCGGTACGGACCAGAGTGACCAAGATCTCAGTATCACGTGCGCTGCGTTGAGCATCACGGACCATGAGGTGCTGCATGAGTGCGATGATGTCGTTTGACTCGATGCGGTCAATGCCCGCACCCGTGGCAGCATCGTACAAAGGAGAGCCCATGCCTTGAGAAAGACCACTCATGTGTTTCGAATCCTGTGGGTTGTAGAATGGATCCATGTTGCCAGGCATGGGCGGATGCTGGTTGTAGTCGATGCCCTTGCCCTTAAGATCGGGCGTTCTGTTAGGGCCCTGTGAGATGTAGCCTTCATCGATCTTTGGCCCAAATGGGCTTCGGGCACCATAGCCTGTGACATACCCATCAGGGTCGAAGTGAGGCGCTTGACCAAGATCGATATCAAGTCCAGGCGCATTGGCGAGAGGACTTGTGCCCTCATAGGGGTTGGTGACGATAGTATCTCGCTTGCGGTCCTCGGAAGTGCGGTGCCACTCTTCGTCTATGTCCTGACTTGTCTGCCGACTGTGAGAGTGTGCCATGGCAGCTGCGGTTGCCACCGCAGCGGCACCCGCGGCCTCGTCGAGGGTCAAGGACTGCCCGCTGACAGATTCCTGGAGTCCTCGACTTCCATTGACGCTTCGTTGTGTGGGGGTCATTGGTTCCCGTTCCTCCCAATGGTCGTTTCTAGCTTCTTGCGTAGCGCTGAATCGGTCACTCATACGCGATGGGTTGGTGATTGAATCATCGTCATGGCCGAAGTACCCTATCTCTGGCAATGGATCGTTGAGGTCTGGCAAGCCGCTGTGTCCGATGTGGGCCTTCTCATACTCTCCAACGAGGCGGTCGACACTATGTGTCGGGGTACTGGCTGGCAGGTAGCCTTCATTAGTTCGGTCCTTGAATGACTTGTTCCGCTGGACGCCTTCTCCCACAAAGTCGCTCGTAGACTCCTCATGTTCAGTGCCCTGTCTGCCCTTGCCCTTTGCAGCTGCCCGGAGGGCTGCCGCCGCAGCACCGACAGCAGCACCAGTGATGGCGGCTTCCGAAGCCGTTGGAGAGTGTCGGTACTTTGATCTTGCAACCTTTCGACCATATTCGTCGAGGTCGTACTCCTCAAATTCGTGTGGTGGTTCAGAGCCTTGTGAAGCAGCCTCTTCTTCGGCTGTACGGCGACTCTCGAGGGAGCCCTTGTGACGGAATGCTGTCTGGTCTGTAACATCTTCCTCGCTGATGACCTCGGAGCCACGAGCATCGTACTGGCGACCACTGCGGCCAGATTCGCCTGTGAGCACTGAATCGTCCAAAGCCGAACCCTCAACTAGAGACGCAACGTGAGATTGGACACCGGTCGGAGAGTTCACCAGATCTGGGTTGGCGCCGACCGCACGCACTGCTTGACCAGATGTGACGCGGTCCAGTTCGCTGTCGTCTGTGAAGGTGGTGTTTCTGTAACCCAGTCTTGAGCTCTGCACACTACGATCGTCTTGGTATGATCCTCTGCTCAAAAGACTGGGGGAGTCCGCGCCATGACGAAGGGACTTGTCGGGGGACGAAAACGACCCAGATGTTCTGTGAGTGAGCCTGGACTCGCGGTTGTGGATCTCGCTTCCACCCTCCGTATAGCCCGAAACGCTTGGTATGGGGCTGAGACCACGACGCTCAGGCTGGTATGGCACATACTTCAGAGGAGGAGGCACGTCTTGGGTGTTATAGTAATCGTTGTAAGGGCCGTCATCATAATCGTCTTCGTCGTCATCATAAGGCTCTACCTGGCTGATTGGAGCTCGTTGTCCATATTCTCGGTCTTCGTACTGTTCCTCGTCATCGAAGCCCCCTGTCCTCTTCTGAGACAGGGTCTTAAGATCCCCATGGGATATGTTGGCATGCTGGGCTCCGAGAGCCTGGAGAGAGACTGGAGTCCTTGTTGGTGTAGGACTGCTGGTCACAGTAGACCTTGAATCGATAGATGGTGTTCCCCTGGCAACTTGTTGCACTGGCGTGAGTTCTTCACTGGCCGAGTGGGGCCGCTCTGTGTCAGCAGACATAATGGATGTCCGGGTGATCTCTGAGGGGTTGACCTCGCTCAACAACGGCATCGGTGCAGCGGGCTCACCGAGCCTTTCATGCTCCTCAACGTATATCTCAGAGGCGCGGCTCTTTGCTTCAGCTCTGCGGCGGCGGCGCTGTTCCCTTGCAATAGCCGGTGATTTCTCGTTCAAGGCGGCTGCAGCCATGGCGGCGACGGCGGCTCCTCCGGCAGCAGCTTTCAGCTTGTCATTGCTGCGCGATACCTCCGAAATTTCGTGCAGCGACTCGTCGACAGAATCGTGGTCCACGCTTGGGACGGGGCTTTCGACCAAGTCATGACGAGCTTCTCTTCCTCTCCGGTCTTTGCCCCTGGAGAGGTTCTCTCTGGATTTGCTTGAGTATCCTGACTGACGGCGTTCACTACCAAGATCGTCTCGAGAAGCCGTTGTCCCACTCGATACAGAGCTTCGACGGGCTTCCCGCTTGCTCTGCTCCCTCTTGATGGCCGTGAGCTCAGGAAGGATAAGCCGCCGGATGGCATCCTCGACAGTCTCTAGGAGCTTGGGGTTGTTGATTGAGGATCTCGAAGCACCGGAACGCATAGAGCTGGCGTCCATTGAACGATGGCTGTGAGAAATGGCTGATGAGACCACACTAGAATCCGCGCCAGATAAGACCGACTCCTCGTTCAGCTTGCTAGACTTCCTCCGCGACGACTTGCCAGACTCGGACTTGTGTTCACTGCCACTGCTCTTGCGACTCTTGGACTTGTGCCTTCGCTCTGAGCTGTCCCGGTCTTTGGACTTGGACACGACCGACTTCTCCTTCTCACTAAGCTCGGATCGGCTTTTGCTGCGCATCTTGTCGGCTAGGGCAGCGGCGGCGACTCCCGCAGCTGCACCACCAATGACATCTCTCGCCCGCGAAGGACTCTTGCTGCGCTTCTCGGTAAGCCTCGTTGAGGGGCCAGAACCATCCAGGAAGCTGTCAGTGGGGATCGCTGATATATCAGACATGTTTCCTGGCTGATAGGAAGCCTTGCTGTCAGCACTTGGTATTAGTGGGCTCGCAGGTCGGCGCCGCCGGTGACCACTTCGGTCGATCTCGACCTCGATAGGGTTGCGAGAGACATTGGACTCTTCAGTCGCAGACGTGTACGAATGCATGCTCTTTGCGTCTTCCTGGTCACCGCTGACAGCAGACAGCGCCTCGTTGGACTTGAGGCCGGTCGGGGTCAGCGGAGCAGCTCGCTCCTGGCGGCGAGTCAGGGAGGCCTTGCGGCCACTAGACGACTTGGTTTCTGTTATCTGGATGCGGTCGGTCTTCCGATTCTTGGATGGGGTGAGGCGAACCCGCACGCTCGGCTTGCGTTCGGTGCTCTTGGTCGGGGAGGCGGAGGGCTTGCCAGCCTCGAAATACTCAATCAGCAAGGAAGTCTGAGAGCGATCAGGCATGTGGCCGCGGGTCCTGATGGTGACGGGTGTGCCGTCCTCTGGAAGGGAGTAGGAAGACTTGTCGTCGCCTGGCTTGGAGACGTCAGAGGGCGCGAGCTCTGTCTGGGTCACAGTCGACTCGGACTCTTCTGTGGGGGCTGGGAGTGGAGGTGCTTTCTTCGAATCGATACCCATGGCGTGCAGCGATCCCACCAGGCGTGGGCTTTTTGTTGGACTTGCAGGATGAGGTAATGTGCCACTCGATAGCCGTGCTGGAAACCCGCTCTATTCCCAGTCCTGGCCAAGTCCCCGGGTGCAGGACCACTGCACCATGCAGGCGGGGAGCAACAATTGGGACGGGGCCAGAGCAAGGCGGGCGGTGGGCTTGTCGCAGGGCGAGCCTCGGACTTGGGGCTGCTTTGTTTTGGTCAAGACATGAGGTGCAGGAAATGGGAACCGGGGTTTGCTGCTGAGGCAAAGTGAGCGGTTGGGAGCCTTGTTTATGGAGCTCTGCCAGAAAGATGCAGGTCGCACTTACAGCAGAGAAAAGTGCAACCGAAACAGTCTCGAGCGACGTGCGACGGTACGGTCGGACGACCAGAGAGAGGGGGGCAGAGGAAAGGAGAGATTTGACTATGCCCCAGGAAGTTTACCGTGCACTGAGAAGATGCAGAAAAGCGCTGGGGAGAGAAGAGTAGGTTGCAACGGTCAAGACGAGGTTGGTGGCGGTGGAGGAGCCTTGGGCCAGTCCAGGTTCAGCTCTGGTTTCTCCCAGCCTTCGAAATAAGTGCACCCCGGCCACGAAAGTGGGCAGGCCCCCAATGAGATTCGAAGCGATGCGATGCGACGCGCTTGGATCGCAACGGCCTGCAGTTAAGCGAGCAGGCTGCGTATTTGAGGTATTGGGCCGACAAGTTTCCTGGGAGGTTCAAAGAGCAGCGCAGCGAAAGAGGGTAGATGCGAACTGAAGAGTGAGGTCGGTTTGGAGGAGGGGGGTGTGGGGGGTTGGTGGTGGTGGATGGGCCAGACTGAGTGCGGCGGGCAGTGTCGAGGCCAGACCAAGCTCTGCCCTGTCCTGCCCTGTCGAGCTGTGTGCACTGCTCCTAGCTGCAGGTACGTAGACTTATCAATCTCGCGGAGCTGTGCCCAGAAGTCGAAAAGTCTCTCGGGCAGGAGGCCGTCTTCTCCGATCTTGTCTTTCTACAGTACATGTGTCTACTTTTGTGTGTTCAGACCTTGTCGCTGCCAGGATTTTACATTAGGATGAGGATTCTACCGCCCTCTGCCGTGCTTCCTCCGTTCGGATGGCCCAGGTCAGGTCAGGTCAGGTCAGGCAGGAGAGGACAGACACGGGCAAGGAAGACTGGATGCGAGGGCGGTTGGGCTGGCTAGGCTGGGATGCCGGTGTAAAGGGTGGCTTGATGAGCTGGCAGGGCCGGCGGTGCTTGTTGGGCCGACCAATTGGTCTTGGAAGACCGTCTCCCGCGCAACGAGTGGGTGCGGGCTGCTGCAAGGACAAGGGGTGCAGGGCACACTCTGGCCACTGGGCCGCCTCCGAGCCCAGTCCCGACAACCTAAATCGATCATCATGTTACTTCGAGGTTGTTACAGCTTGTACCGAGCCGGCTGTGCAGCACCGCTCACCACTCATCACTTGGACAATTCTTGCATCCCAGGCGTACCGCAGGAACACAGAGAGTGAGAGAGAGGAACAGACAAGACAGGCGCCGGTCGGCAGTTTTCTAACTTTGAGTCGCCATCGCGAGTCACTAGCTAGGCGATCACCACGAAGCTCACCCAGCTGCATACGCTGACTCTTTGGGCTGTTTCAAGACCTTGCCCTGTAAATAAACAACTCGACCACCCGTCATTCCGGGGAAACCAAGGTCCACTACCACGCAGAGCCAGCCCACCACCCGCCCAGGCCCGCACGCAAAGCCTCCTCACGGCTCGAGCACACCTTGCAATCTAAACTTCTGACCGGGCGACCACCGGGTCCCGACATGGGAGACCCAGTCCGCCCTGTCCACATCGACCTGACTGACAGTCGTCATCACCCAGCTCCAGCAGGTCGGAATACGTGAGCAGACGGGTCATCTGGGCTTTGAGCTTTGGACCAGAGGGCAAAAAGGGGAGATGCTCGAGTACGACTGGTCGGTTAGCCAAGTGCTCGCACCCCGACAAGCCTCAGAGGATCGTCGCAAAGACTACGAGATACCCAGTAATAGTACTGTCTATATCACAGCTGTCAAAGTGGGCTCTCGAGTCCGCTGCATCACTTCGAGGGCTAAGACAGGCCAGCAGACTACATAGTCCCTACTAGATGTCGAGTACTCGCTCCCTCCCAAGCTAATACTTTCCCAACAGACGGACAGATATGCAGCCAGACCGGCCTGGCCAACATAGCCTACAGCGCACCCCCAGTGGCGAAAACCGCGGTCGTCGCCTGTCGCACCGGATAGCAGGTCGTTGTTACTGGATGTTATCCCGCGTGGTACAGTATCCAGACTAGACTATGTACATCTTTTTTTTTTTTTTTTTTTTCATGCGGTCCCACATCCCACGCGGCGCCCGCCTGCTGCAGGGCCTTTCCCTTCATCCACCCTCGGTTGGCCTCTCGGATCGCCCCGTTCGGGCACCTGGGCACCACTCGGCCGGGCAGATCTGGCAACCCAGCGTTTCGAGAAGGTGTTGAGGGAGACCCAGTTCGCCTTCGTCCCTCCACTCCAGTCATGTGAGACCTGTTCTGGCGTAGACATGGGATTTGCCCCCGTCTCTGTTTGAAAGTCCGGAGCCGCGTCCTCGGTCTCAAGTCCTCAGTACTCGAGAACAACAAATCCGGTAGACTAACTGGCGTATCTCTTTCTGTGCCCCTCTTTCCCTTGCCCCTCAACCCATTTCCCCAGTGCCCTTCCGGCCACCTGGCGGGGAAGACCTCGTGTGACGGGAAATGCCGGCAGCCTGCAGCGTGCTTCCGCAATATGGGCAATTGAGCATGGTGGGCACGCAAGTGTCTCAAACCGGCGCGCAGTTGTCGTAAGGAGATACCTGCAGCGCCGTTGGCGTCTGAGAGGGCAATTTCCTCCTCCTATTCTCGCCGCACAGATCCGCTGAAAGCGCCATGGGCAGCATGGGTGCATAGCAAGCGGGACTGGCCTCCGGCAGACCGTCAATTCCCAGTCACACAGTCGGAACATGCATTCACTACAACTAGGAGTCCTGCAGCCACGTAATCGAAGATGGTTGAGTGTCGGTCCTTGTGTATCTAGCCCATGCATTGTCACTACTAGGAAACCTGAAACTAGGACTGCTGCCTGTATGTAGTCGTCTTCGCTCTGCGATAATTATCCCCTCCTAGCATAGTGCTGTAAGCTGTCCTCCCGACTTCTTGGATATCAATTTTGCACAACGCCTGAAAAACAATGCATGTTACGGAAAATGCAGCCCTCGCGCCGCCGCCGTCATCCTGACACTCCGGAATGGTCAAATCATCTCCTGCACCGTCTCGTTCTTGGCAAGATGAGTAGGGAAGCCTCCAGCAAGAACGGTCCTCAGAAAGTCGACCTTGGCCGACAACGCCCAGCTGTCAATAGTCATCTTGTCCTTGCCGACGCTGATTGTCTGCCGGTACCCAAACTCACTGACGTCACCGCCGTGCGAGCTGACGACGGCGTTGCCACCCGTGTGTGGGTTGGACGCGGCCCATCCAGCGGTCGAGTAGCCCGGTCCCTTGCCTCGTTCGAGACCAGTCGCGATGCTGTTGAAGTCCGACTTGAGATGCCGTCTGTCGCGCTTGGACATGGATTTCGAGCCTCTCGATGCCTCTCGCATCTGCTGCGCCAGTCTCTTGGGGTCGTATCTGAGGTTCATCTTCTCTCCAGAGGATTCCTCCCACTCGGTTGCGCTCTCAAACAGCAGCGCGATGTTGTTGCCGGCGCTGGTCTGCACGTAGGCGTCGGTGCTGTTAAGTTGCTCCACGAAGGCTTCCATGGCTTGCGCACTCTGATCAGAAAGATCCTCCAGATGCGCGGCCATGAAACCCCAGCTCTCGAGGGCAGCGACTACCACGGGCGCGACATCAGCTGCCCCCGCGGTGTGCCCGTCGCTCTCGATGATGTCGAGCATGTACAGCATCATGTCCTCGGCGGCCTCGGTCGATCCATCGCCATACATGGCCGCCACGGCAAGGGCACGGAGCGCTGCGGTCTTGACTTCTTCGGCCCCATCATCCTCGCAAGTGGACTTGAGGCTTGAAACGTACTGGTCGAGGACTGTGTCGGTAGGGTTCGTAAGGATCGTCACCGAAAGGGCCTTAAGCGCAAGGGTGCGTTCGGTCGCGCTGATGCCCGACTTAATTGCTCTCACAAGGCCAAGCACCAGGTCGTTCATGGGCGCCTCGATCTCTGAGCGGACGTAGTAATGCCGCGCCAGGTGCAGGTACGATTTCAGCATATCCTCCCTCTCCTGGTTGCTGATTTTCTTGCGCTCGCCAGAGCGGCCACCGGCGACAATCTGCGAGACTCTTGCGTCCACGCGGTCGACCCAGGCGCGACCAGTACCGTCGTCGTCGCCGTGGTCGGAGGTACCTGAGGTGGTGCTCATGGTCATCATGTCGTCGAAATCGGAGTCGCTATCGCCCTCGTCCTCGGACGCGTAGCGGCTAGGTGCGCGCGAGCCAGCGGGGGAGTGTCCGGGCGAGGTGATTGGCGTCGCGGACTTGGAGTCGGGACGCGAGCGCGCCTTGCGGGACTGTGTCTTGCCACTCTCGAGGAGGGCCTTCTTTCGGAGGTCGTGCATGATGGATGTAGTTGACCGCGGAGTGCGGTTTCAGCGACTCTTGCGATGGTGCAGAAATGGACGAAGGGGCGGCTCGTAAAGCCCACTGTGTCCTGTTGTTGTGCCCAGACAAAAGTCGGCGCGGCACGGTGTGATGCGTGCTAAGTGTGGGAATGATCAAATGCTCTGTGATGTTGTGATGCAAAGATGGAGGCGGGAACAGTGTTCGTGGGTAGAATGGTGCTCGAAACAAAATCCATGAGGGTTGATCGCGCGTGTTACGGGTTTAAAAGGTTGCAAAGGTGGCGTAGAGACTACGTGCGTGTTTAGGATGGAACTGGGACGAAATAAAATCAGGAGGGTGAAATGGGCTGGGGGGTTTTGAGCAGCACACAATTTGGGTGGTGACGGAAGAAATCCCAGTTGCCTCCGTCGGGCGTGTCTGGCCACTCACATGTGCACCGAAAGCGATCAACCTGGACCAATTGTAGGAATGCTACTTTTATTGTACGGTGTGACCCGTGTCTGCCGGTTCAGCCCGTCAGAATCATGTCACCTGCCCAGCCCCAGGTTCGCAGATTACCTGTGTACATTCCATGTTTCCCATGAATATATTCGTTTTTGCCATCTTCTCGTCCCCGACTGACTCATATGCACAGCAGTAACAGAGCCTTCTGCTGACCTGAGATACAAGACTGTTCCTTGGTGACGACAGTCAGGCAAGCCTTACCAGTCACGGCCCACCTTTCCTGTCGACCAGCCCGCCTCCTGTGCGGTCGCTGTGGGTCAACCGATGCAATGGGCGGGGCACTGTAGGGGGAAGCTGGCCAGTGCGGTGAGCAGGGGGCTAAAGTGATTGCAGAGGCGCTAGGCTGGAAATCGTTTCGCTTGACTTGTGCCGAGCCGAGGTGGACACTGTTTTGTACACTGTGTGGGCGTCGATAGTGAATGGACAAGTCCAACTGAAATAATGCGGAGGATCATTGGCCATGCCGTGATGAAGCGTCTCCAAGGCCTTTGAGTCGAGGGCGTATTGTGCACTGCTGTATGTACAACGAAAGTGCTGCAAGCCCAGTCCATGACTGGGTAGGTACTTCTAGCCGTGTTTGCCTGGGGCTGCCTGGTTGCCCTGTGAGTCCGTGAGTCTGAGACTCCACCCGCCGCAGGCAGTCACGTCCATGTCAGTTGCCTCGGGCGTTTCCTCTCCAGACGGGAGCTCTTGAAACGAGGACCCCGCTTGCCAGTATCTACCAAGTGGCAGGTATACTTTTAGATAGCATCTCTACTCTCCTCACTCTGCTCAGACAGATCTGCTCACGTACATTGTGGGTGATTGCTCGTGGCGATAACAACGGAGTGATGGACTCTTAGTTGCAGTAGTTAACTGTGCACCAACCTCTCTCCACTCTGCCCACTCAGCTGCCACCCCAAGACGTCCTCACCAGATAGCTACAAGCGCGGGGGGAGATCCGCAATCCATGAGCAGCTGACGTGATAACAGGAGGCTCGGGCGACGGGCATCCAGCGGCCTACCTGCGAAGTCTACCTGCTACCTACTAATGGGTACAAGGTGCCAAGTAGCTTCCTCTCTTATCTAGCAGTCCCTGATTGCTGCCTGCTAGCCGAGCACACACGACTGCTCTGTCCATCCCTAACAGTACCAGCGGCACAGCACTGCACATCGAGTAGGAAGGGAGCTCAAGTGGACCTACAACCCCCCCTGCCCCACCTTCCCTCCCGCACCTCTCCATCTACACCTCCCATCTCCAAACCACCGCCGCCCTTTCCCCTTGGCCTCTCTTTGACTTGGACTTGATCGACGCCGTCAAGCCCTTCGACTGTTAGACTGTCATCGTCTCTGTCTTCTCCGCATCCTTTCTGTCTTAAATCGTCTGGTCCCCCTCTTAAATGCGACCGTCTCGAGGTGACGAGTCCACGTCCTCGCCGTCCTCAGGCCTACGTATCTAGCCTGACAAACCGCTTGTCCTAGACCGGACAATCAACCTCGCTGGAGCCTTGTTGGATTGGCCTTCGAGCAAATAACACTTGTCTCTTCCCTGGAACCCACTCATCAATAAAGCCCACCTTGTCAACATTCACTTGCACAAAATGGCCGTAAAAGTCACGGACGAGGATTCTGGTAAGTCCCATGCCCTCAGCCCATGCCACCCCCCTCCCCTCCGCTTCCTGTACTGCCTCATCGCTGGCAGTGAAGTCCACCTTGGGCTTCATTCTTTGATGAATTGTTCTGAGAGTTGCAACGAACAGTCCTTATCTTGCTGTCGACCAAGAGCCCCACCAGCATTACGCACCCGGAGCGACGAATCCTCCTCACCCAGTCCCGACCAACACTCAAGATCGGACGGTCAAGTAATCGCTCTGCCTTGGGCCTGACACCGACACTCGACAACGGGTACTTCGACTCTCCCGTTATGAGTCGAGAACACGCCGAGATCGAAGCCGACATTCCCAGACAGGTCAGTCATATAGCCCATATACGTTGACGTACAACGGATCTAATTGGTTCCAGGTCGTCAGAATCCGTGACGCAGGCTCTATGCACGGCACATACCTCAACGACGAACAGCTCGACACTGAGGTTGCCCGGCCTCTTGTTGTCGGTGACGAGGTCACCTTTGGCTCGTCTGTTTACCGAAACCAGAAGACCTTCAAGCCTGCTACCGTGACAGTTGGCATAGAATTTCAAACTGCGTCAGTTTTTGCTACATGTCATGAAGTAAGAACAACACTAACGACACATTATAGCAGTCAAGCGGATCATTCCCCTAGCCGTGTCTTCACTGTTCCGGACGACTGCTCGACTGACGAGAACGAACCTTTGGATGACAACGCGCCTCAGAAGATCCCAACCTACATTTCTGAACAAGAGATCAATCCGTGGAGGGAAGAGATGAACGAACAACAAGATGTGGTGCGCCAGATTGACGGCATCATCGAGATCGAATCCACTTCCGAGTCGGACTCCGACGCTCTTCCACATGATTGCATTTCCATTCTGTCCGGTGATGGCGATCACGATGCTATGGATGCCGGAGATCTAGCCGCAGAGTTTGATGATGACGATGACGAGTCAATAAGCTTGACGGATGATGAGGAAACAAGCTCTGCACCGGCGAGTCCCGTCGAGTCTATTGATCTTGACGATCTTGATCTCGAGGACAACAATGGTGTTCGTTCGCCATCCTGGAATAGTGTTTCCACGGATCCACAGAGTGAACATATGGCAGAGCAGCCTCCATCTGGCCACAATTCCGAAGACGAACAAGGCGTTTTCCTCTATGATTCGGAGTCTGAAGAGATGGATGACATTGACCCCATCGATGTCGACTTTGACCCTTACGCGCAACCCGTCATCCATCAGAGCCAGTATCCGCCAGCACAGACAACTCTTCCGACCCAACCAATTCCATCCGGACATCCTATCCTCCCGTCAATCAGCACCGCGGTGTCTCAGCAGGGTTACCCCGATTTCAATTGCCAACTCGCCCCAGTAATGCAGCCAGCGCCACGCCAGCCAAGCCCATCTGACGCCGTTCTGCCGGTTGGCCGTCGTCACCATGGGTCGGAGGACGATTGTGTCGTCACAGTGAAGAGCTTGGGACTTAAGAGCGGCAAGCCTGATTTTTTCGAAGCCCGAGAGCAGAACAAAATCAAAATGGCTCACTCGGGGGCGTTTCATGGTCCGGGTTCCAACCCATTCGCACAGATAGCCTCGGACACAGCCAACATCGATAAGGACGTACCCCGTCCTGTGACCGAGGATATTCTACAATGCCCTACGTCTTCATCCACGGAGGTTGAGCATCCATCTGCTTCTGCATTGAATAAGGAAGCTCAACCAGAACCAAACCCTCAGCTCGAGGCTCATACGGCACCAGTGCCACAGCCTTTCACAGGTTTCTCGGCCCGAATGAAAAGTCAAGGCAACCAAGCACTCGCGAAGAGCTCGTATGACTTCATACCAATGACTCTCGAAGACGCTCTCTCGGCTGCACCTCTTGAGGAGACTTCTGAGACGGACATCAAAATGCAGGAAGCTGTAGATCCGACGTGGACTGCAGCTTCTGCTGACGAGTTGTTCCAAATGAAGCAATTGGCCCAGATTCGAACGAATGAGGCGTCAGGGTGTCGTTTGGACCCTCCGGAAGCGCCTATGGCCGCCGAACGCCCAGAGCCGCGAAAAGACACTACCAAGGGCAAGCGCAAGGCAGCCGACATTTCGGACACAACTGACGAGGAGCGCATGTGGCAAGAGCTGGAGGATGCTGGCGTGGTGCTTGAGCCCAGCAGCCCTGCCCTTACTCAGCCAGAGATCGAAATGGACTTGTCGAGGCTCTCCTTCCACAATACCTCAGAGCAAGGATCCACAGCCGTGAGACCAACCAAGATGAGGAAAATCGCAGAACGGGTTGGATACGCTGCCCTTGGTGGTGCCACTGTCGGCGCGATGGTTTTGACGTCGCTCATCTACACTGCGCCCAACTTTGCGTGAGCCATGGTTGGCCTGCGAACTCATTCACTTTTGCCTTGTTGTTACGTGTGCTTGCATGAACCTTGTTCAGGTTGAAAGGCGGGATTGTTTTTTTTTTTTTTTAAGGATGAGCAGGAAAGGCGTTAATTTCCTAAACTTTATTCTCCTCCTGAGGTTAGGAGATGCTTCTGTAGGTTGGAGCTCAGGCAAGGCAGTGTGATACTCTGGATCAACGGGGCATGCCACAGGAGGGGTCAAGGCTTTCCTATGTGCTGCACGGATTCGACCGATTTCTGGGCCGTTATGATCACTACGGCAGACGATTATGATTGATTTTTGAGTCTATTCTTTCCAGGTGTTGAGGAGATAGCTTTCCAGCACAATGCCACGCTGCTCAAGACTTATCAGTTGTCGACTGGTCGCCAAACATGAATTTTGAACTCCCGCCGTGATCACGGACTCCTGGGAGATGCACGATCATCTGCTTGCAGATCATCCACATATGCCCAATCAGGTCAGCGGGACTATCATGGCATGAACTTGCCTTTAGACTGGGTGAATAGCTTGCCCAGGGCTAGCTGCAAAGAACAGACAGCGCTCCGGCAGAGAAGTTGGCTGCTGTTAGTATCATCATCTTCTACCGGGCCACATGAGATTGATCACTGAGGGGCAATGCGTGAGGGAGGATGCGCAGCAGAATCCTCACGGTCCTTGATGATAGACCACTCGCAAATCATATCAAGACCAACGTGGAGGATAGGTATAGGTCGCAGTAAAGTCTCCTGTTTGTTGGTCATCTGCCCTTCCGAGCGGCTCATGTGGAAGGGCCAGAGACAATTTTTGTTCCCTGGTAGAGCAGTCTCTGTGTCAGAGCATGCATATGTACGTACGTGTGGTGTATGTGTGTAAGCTAGACCAGATTTAGATGTCCATATCGGTCAAGGCATAGGAAGATAATGGTCGAGAGGCTGATGTTGAACTGGTCCCAAGAATAGGACATGAAGGCATGCGCGAGCCCAAAATATAGATCTGAACCTGAATATAGTGCTATCACATGCACTGTCATCATCATCTCAGCCTCCTAAGCTTTGACGCCAACAAGGATCTGAGGATTTCCTCATGAGCGATATAACGTACGTGAACAGCTCTCAACTATGATAAGAACGGCTTTTGATGACTTTCATTTCTCCAAGCATGATCCAGAAACTTACTTACCCACTGTCGGCATTCACCACCGCTAGCATACTCTTATGATTAATTTAAGTGCCTCTAGCACGATATTATTCGCAAATAAGGGACTTCCACTGCATGAATTTGATTTTGACAACAGGTGCATTGGGTGGTATATATGAACTTGTCCAGAGTCTTGAAACTGTGCATAGCTTGATTATCGGCCGGCTGTATTCCATCTGGTTGGTGATCGAGTTCGTTCCAGCTTACATGTAAGATAATGGTAGACTGGTAATAGGAAATATACAGCGGGGTATGCAAGACAATATGACCTGCACAGCTTCCAGTTCGATCAAGGAGAGAAAGTAGTGAATTTGCTGTCTTTCGTCGGGCCTCTTACAGCAAAGGTTCCTTGCAAACGCAGGCAAAATGCTGACTATAGATGTGATACTGATTGGTCACACCCCTGCTCGGGTATCTGGGGTGCAGACGGGAACCGGCTCCGCACTCGGCGGGCTGCATGGTTCGCTCGCCTTTTTTGGGGCCAATTTTTTTTCCCTCTGGAAGAATCGCAGAAGAGTCATTCTCTACACACACAACTCCATGTGTCCCCGGTCACAATGAGGTCAATTGAAGTCGCCAGGCGCTCAGGAGCGTTGGCGAGGGTAAGCCAGTCCCTCAAAAACCCAAAACGCACCTTGGGACTGACAATTCTCGACCAGGGCGCCCTCCACCGACAACAACTCCGTTGCGCCCCGACTTACACTTACACGCAGACTCGCCGCCTTCTTTCGACCGGACCGGCCCTGCCCCCTGTTTACGAGACGCTCTACACGAAATACGCCGAAGTTAGACGAGTGCTGGGGCCGCAGAGGCTCACGCTTGCTGAGAAGATCCTCTACAGCCACCTGAACAATGTCGAAGAGAATCTCATGACCAACACCAAAAATGGCCGCGACATCCGAGGAAAGGCAAACCTGCCGCTCAAGCCCGACCGGGTGAACATGCAGGATGCTTCCGCCCAGATGGCCCTGCTGCAGTTCATGGCGTGCAACCTCCCCCAGACCGCGATCCCCGCGAGCATCCACTGCGACCACTTGATTGTTGGCGAGCAGGGCGCCGACAAGGATCTGTCTGCCGGCCTGAGCGCGAACCAAGAGGTCTTCGACTTTCTCGAGTCTGCGGGCAAGAAATTCGGCATCGACTTCTGGCCGCCCGGGGCCGGTATCATACACCAGACTGTGCTAGAGAACTATGCCCGGCCGGGCCTGATGATGCTGGGCACGGACAGCCACACGCCCAACGCCGGTGGCCTCTGTACCATCGCCATCGGTGTCGGTGGTGCTGATGCCGTCGAGGCCCTTGTCGGTGCGCCCTGGGAGCTCAAGGCACCCAAGGTCCTGGGCGTGCGCCTGACGGGCAAGCTCAACGAATGGGTCTCGCCCAAGGACATTATCCTGCACCTAGCCGGCAAGTTGACTGTCCGTGGCGGAACTGGTTTTGTCGTGGAGTATTTCGGGCCGGGTGTTGAGACGCTCAGCTGCACTGGAATGGCCACAGTGTGCAATATGGGGTGAGCACAAGTTTGGCTGCTTCTAGATCTTGGCTGGGTTGCTAACGTATTCTAGTGCTGAGGTCGGTGCAACAACCTCGGTGTTTCCCTTTACAGAAGCTTCTGCGAGGTATCTCGAAGCCACCAGGAGAGGAGACTTGGCCAGTGCGGCCAAGATCTTCCAGAGCTTCCCCGGGGTCGGCAACTCGGAAGACGCGTACTTCAGGTTCAAGGCCGACGAGGGTGCGGAATACGACCAGCTGATTGAGATCAACCTCTCGGAGCTGGAGCCGCACATCAATGGACCCCACACCCCAGATCTGTCGACGCCTCTGTCCCAGTTCAAGAAGACTGTGCAAGAGGAGCAGTGGCCTGAAAAGGTCTCCGCAGGCCTCATTGGCAGCTGCACCAACAGCTCTTACGAGGACATGACCAGGGTGGAGAGCATAGTGAAGGCCGCTGAGGCCGCTGGGCTGAAGCCTGCCACTGATTTCTACGTCACGCCTGGCAGTGAGCAGATTCGAGCAACTCTAGAGCGCGACGGCATTTTGGAATCATTTACTGGCGCGGGCGGCATCGTTCTCTCAAACGCATGCGGGCCCTGCATTGGACAATGGAATCGACGAGACGGCGTTGAGAAGGGTACGCCAAACGCGATATTGACATCTTATAACCGAAATTTCCGTGGCCGGAACGATGGCAACCTCGACACCATGAACTTCCTCGCCTCCCCTGAAATAGTCACCGCAATGGCGTTTGCCGGTTCTACAACCTTCAACCCCATGACAGATACACTTAAGACGCCCGACGGTAAAGATTTCCGCTTCCCGGCACCAAAGGGCATGGAAGACCCTAAAACCCCCTTTGAGTACGGCAACGAGACATTCAAGGTCGCGTCACAAGCGCCAGACCCGAGCGTCCCCGTGGCCATCTCTCCCACCTCGGAGCGTCTTGCCCTCCTCGACCCGTTCGAGCCATTCCCTGACCACGACCTCACCGGCCTCCAAGTCCTCGTCAAGGTCAAGGGCAAGTGCACGACCGACACGATCTCCGCAGCAGGCCCGTGGCTCAAGTACAAGGGTCACCTCCCCAACATCGCCACCAACACCCTCAACACGGCCGTGAACGCGGCCACGGACGAGGTGAACGCGGCGTACGACTTCGACGGCGGCAAGCACACGATCCCGGACCTCATGAAGAAGTGGAAGCAGGAGAACCGGCAGTGGCTCGTGGTCGCGGAGCACAACTACGGCGAGGGCTCCGCGAGAGAGCACGCGGCGCTGCAGCCGAGGTACCTGGGCGCGAGGATAATCGTGTGCAAGAGCTTCGCGCGCATCCACGAGACGAACCTGAAGAAGCAGGGAGTCGTGCCCCTGACGTTCGCGAACGAGGCCGACTACGACAAGATCGACGCGTGCGATGAGGTCGCCACCGTCGGGCTGTACGAGATGCTGCGCAACCAGGGCCGCGGCGACGTGCAGCTGAGGGTGACCAAGAGGGGGACGGGCGAGGAGTTCCTGATCCCCGTCAAGCATGCGGTCAGCAAGGACCAGGCGGGCTTCATCCTGGCTGGAAGTGCTCTGAACCTGCTCTCAAAGGGGGTTTGAGTGGAGAGGCTCTCTGGATGGCGTTAAACAAAAGCGAGAACAAGAGAAAGAAAAAGGACCTGTTGGTAAAGATACCAGGGGAGGCTTGTGTGCTTTACGAAATGTGTATATGAAATGGCGCATGTGTCTGACAGCTCGGGCGTTGCTGGCTTTTGACAATTGAAACAAAGATTTCTAGTGGCTTTGGGGTCTTGCCTGTTCGAATCTATCCAGGCATTTAGAACGGTGAGGCCTCACTGCAACATTTATGTGATGTTGACGGCAAGACTTGACTGTATGGATGCGATCCAAGCCTCGTGGCATTAAGATCCAATTTTTATGAAGATGGATATTCGTATCCACTAAAACGGATGGTACATCCATAATATACCTGCTAACTAAGCATTATTACGTAACTACAACCTTACCACACTACCCCATAATGCTCTTTATAGCTGTAATTATTAATGCCCCTGCATAGCCTTTATTATTATTAAATTTAATATAATTATTATATATTAATATTATATTAAATTAATTAAATGCTTATTAAAATTAATTAATTTAATATTAAAAATAATATTTAATTATTTAAAATTTAATTTTTTAATATTATAATAATAATATAAGTTTTAAATTACTTTAATTTTAAAATATAATAATAAATTAATTATTATAATTAAAACATTAATATTATTATTATTAATTATTAT